AATTCTATTCGATTCGTACCCAAGTATAGTAATCACCCATCACTCGTTACTGTAGGACGGTAAGAACTTCAAAGAGGGTTTTGAGCCGCCAACAGCTACATTTTGCCTCGAAAGGACATCCCAAAAAGGTGGAAGTTTTACCATAAAGCTGGATGGCTCTGGTCGACTCGAAATATGAAATCCATATTTTATCCTAAGACTTTCTTCATAAGCTATCCCAGCCAAATTGCAATTACCCTAATTTCACGCGTACAAGGCGCGGGTGGTCCTAGCTTTTATCGACCAGCCCGAACACGGCAAAGGACTTCGCAGCCAAAGGAACCCCATACCGGGCTGCGTTTTGCCTGACGAATCGTGCGGCATAAGGATCGCTTCTAAAAAAACGTTGGGGCGGCTGAGCAGCTCGATGAAAGCTAGGACCACCCCGCGCCTTGTACGCGTGAAATTAGGGTACGTTTTTTGTGTTTTTCAAAAATGTGGTTGAAAACCATTCAAAACTCTTGACAAACTCTTCAAAAGTTTTTACTTTTGCTGGTTTAAGCAAAATGGAGCTTGGAAATTCTTCAGAAGCTGTCTAATAAAAAGCATGTTTTTTGCAATTTTTTTCAAATGGTATATTTCACAATGGCGCGGTAGTGACTGCATGTCGCCGAAGGGGTCCACCCGCGCATGGACAGCTGCTACCAATTTGCAGGTCTGTAATATATATGACTGCTGAGAGTGTCGCAGATGCCCGTTGGGACCACCCCCTTTCGGCAACATTAGTCCTTCGCACACAATGGAGGGCGTGCAGGATCCTCCAAGGCTCGCCGCTTCTTCTCATGGCGCGCGGGAGGTAATAATACTAACTTCGCGCCTAGCCCGCACCTATGTCGCACCTATCTCGCACCTTCCTGCATTAGTTCCCCTCCGGATAATGCCTTGTTCTCATGGCATAGTTAGGAAGAACAGCACATAAGCGACGATTAAATGGCTCCAAGAAAGATTAATGAAAATGTTGTGAAAGAAAGTGCTTCCGATCATGTTTATTAAAGGTGTTGTGGTAGGTAGAGTAGGGTAAAAGCTGTTTTCTTGAAAGCACAGGTTAGAGGCAGTGGATCGGCGAAATGGATCTTTATCAGATTTTGAAAGTGTTAGGTGGTAGATCCCTCAAGTAACCGTAGCCCCAACCCCACCCTCCAAATCATGCGCTAAGTCCTGTAAAGAAGCTCCGAAACTCCACCAGCCCCGCCCACATTTGTTGAGTGGAGACGTTATTGATGGAAATTTGAAGCGGCTTTTTGGGACTCAGCGCATGCATTGGAGGATGGGGTTGGGGTTACGGTATAGTTGGGAGGCCTAATACTTTACACTAGCGAAATTGACAGGGGTCCATTTTGCTGATCCACTATTTTTAGAAACGTACAGCTTTGAAACACAGTTTGAAGACATATTCTTCGCATCTTAGCTGAGCATTTGAACTGCGATTGATCTTATGAGCACTGACTTTTCCAAATGGGTGTATTATGCAAAAAATTAGATTTAGAGCAAATTTGTCACTAATTATTCTGTTTGTTCCTTCCTTATTGCCATGTTTGTTCTAATTTTTCTTTTATGCGCGTCTTCTGTGGAAGAAAATGACTACAGATTTTCCCATCTGTACTTTTCATGCTGATTTTCCAAAGGAGCATCTAAATTGGTTAAACATTCAGTTAGCGGCTAACTCCTCTGATTCCACCTACCACGTATTTACGTATTCAATGCCCACGATTCACAAGCAATTTTCTTGTCAGTCTTCCTGTTTCTGCTTTCCCAGCACTTTCATTTTTTTGAAAATATTCACTTGCCTATGTGCTGGTCTTTCTAATTGATGCCAGGAGGAACAAAGCAGTTGTCCGAAGGGGAACTAATGCAGGAATGTGCGAGATAGGTGCGACGTAGGTGCGAGGTAGACGCGAAGTGAATATTATCTTCTCCCACGGGCGCGCCTGGAGAAGAAGCGGCGAGCCTTTGGAACATCCTGATACGCCGCCACACACAAGGGCGCCGCATGCTGGAAGTTCTACCGTAATCTTACACAGTATAGAGAGAAATGCGTGGTATGGTCCACACCGCAAAATGATTTGAAGCCTCTACCGTATATTACTTCGAGCTAAGCAAAAGGCTTCGTTGGAAGAGTTTACTAACGATTGAAGAGTGTGTACTTACTTTTGGGACGCCCTGTATTCTGTAAAACACAAGCAAAAGCAGCGATTTTTTCGTCCGCGACAATCGAGTTTATGACAAGGGAACGTCCTGTGAATATCCTTCTCAGATTCCTCACCACATAATCACATAAATCTAGAGATGATTTAAACGTACGTTAGTCCCACATATGTTTATCTCTGCAGTGTAGCAACCAATGAGAAATGAGAGATGTTTGAGGTCATAATAATGGCAAAACTTCCAGATACAGCAAACAAAGAACAAGTGCATGCAATTAGCATATAATGGAGATCGCAGATAATTTACTGCACAACACGATTGCCTCTATAAAATGCAGAGGCATATTGAGTATTATGCTTGCTTCCGAAGTAGAAACAGGTGATGGGCCAACGCATGGACTGGACGTTAAAGGCAGCGTCCGGCAGATTTGGACAATATAGGATACTATTATGGTTCCGCTAGCAACGAGGGGGCATGGGTCCGAGTATCAATGCCTATCAATACCTAAATTTGTATACATATCTACTAGCCTAACAACATATTCCATACAAGCCGTTTCATCTTTCTTACATTAGTTTGACTAGGATTAGACTCGGACTGACATGATAATGTCTGCATTCGTTTACATTTCTTGTTTTCCGCTGTATTACTAACTTCTCGATTTGTTTTTTTATGGAACACCTTGAGGTATAAATAAAAATGAAAATGGAAATAACCGAGTACTAGGGCCTCGATCTAGAAATATCGCACAAGTTCGGCTTTTGTACACCCCTTGTAAAGGAAGAAAATCGGCGCATTAAACGCCGAGCCCCGAAGACCAGGCCCACTCCCTCGCACGGCCAGCCCCTTGAACGAACTCTCCTCAGCCGTTGACGTGCTTTCACGCGGCAAACACTATGGAACACATAGTGTCATCTTGTTAATACTTTTCGACAAGGATTGCATTAGAAGCACTCGTCCACGCTTCAAACAGTCTCGAAAATGGGGTTTTTTAGGGAATTCACACATCTTTAGTGCCATAATCGGAATTAAGGCCATGAAAAGGCCTGAATAAGGTAAAAAAAATAGAAGTCAAGATTCTGCCTGGACGCTGCCTTTAGCCTTTATTGTGGACTCCAGCGTTGTCTGTTCAAGCGCAGTTTCATGACTCTCATCGTCTGCGCCTCTTCAAAATGCACTCTCAGCGAACTCTAACAAGAAGAGACGTAAGAAGAGAGAAGAGACGCGGAAGTCCGCAACAAAGCCGGCAGTATTCGGGAAAATTACCTATATATTGCAGAAAAACACATGCACTTATTCCTAGTCAGAACAAACACGATGATCAATTAGTATTTTCCGCGATAGATGTTTTCGAAAGCATTGCTGTGCATCCATTGACACTAGCTCCCGGACATGAAATCTCATCAGCTTCACAACCCGCAGCAAGTCTAAATTGTTTTTTTTTTGAATTGCCGATATTAATTAAATATTGATGCTAAGATAATTGCAAAACCGAGTAGAAACTGACTGATTCCAACAATGGCGATGGACGTGCACATGACAAGATTCACAAGTGACAGCTGCGAATTTTCTGTAAGAAATACTAAATTTCAGTATTAAGAAGGGTATGATGAAAATAATTACCGAACAACAACTTTCTGGCAAAGAGCACAGTTCGGACATCCGTACTTCCAAGCGAGAACAGGCTCCAACTCCGCGATAGTCCTCGCTGCCAGTTGGATATTCTCATCCTTCTCAAAATCAAATTTTTGATAGCTTGGGAAAAACCCAAAACTGAAATAAAACGCGAACTTCAACAGTCCATCCGGACTTTGTCAGTTTGTCAATAAATGCCTGCGTTTTCATCATTGACATCGGATTCGGAAGCTTTGAACCCTCTTGTAGAGCCCAAGACTGATCGCACTCGCCACCACATTCTACCATTTTTTGCATGTAACGTGAAAAGAGCACTAGCTCTTCCTCACTGAAGAAAACCATTGTAATTATCGGCGACAACAGTATACAAAAAACCTACAACTAACCTGAAGCCGGTAATAGTACGAAGTTCCTTGGGGAGCACATCCTCCGTTACCAAAACCACCATTTCGCGTCCATTCTCTTCATCAGTGACAGATGTCAAACGAAGACCGAGCTGAAGATAAAACTGAGCCGTGAAAGTCTGGACAGCAATGGTGGTGCCCTGAAAGAACGGACTTCCGCTAGTCGAGGGTTCATTTGCTCTAGCAGTGTTGTGACTAGCTCGTCCAATTCCTCCTTGGTGCATGAGATTTTTGACACGACGCACGGATTCTCTAAATCAGTCCATTTTAACGCTCACAATCGACGCTAAAAATACCGAGCAACTTTTCAGCTTTGTGGAAACGATGTCGCGTATGAAGCTGAGGTAAAAATGTTTTTTCTGGAAGTAAAATGGTCATAGAAAATACATTTGACTGTCTATAGCCTTACCGTCAGAATGCCCTTCGAAACCATATTTGTTGCTAATGACTGGTGTGCAGGAGAAAATTCTTTTGAACATTGGAGAATTTCCGAAAACAGGGGAACCTAGAAGCAGATGACGTAAGCAGACTTTTAACTAAGCAGAACGAAAGTTGAAAATTAAAAATTCATCATTTCCTCTATATATCGTCATTTACACACAAGCAAAATGCATGGCGAACTATGGAAAGGGGCGGCGTACTAAAAAATTGAACATGTGTAGCTAGGAATTTCAATATGCAAGGGCCCCGAGAAATGTTTTTACCATTTGAACTAATGAGGAATGCTACCTAACTTAGCTCTGCCTTTTGGCAAGTGACATATATCTTCTGAATCAGCTTTAAATGCTGATTCCAAATATGCTTTTCCTAGCTGCTGTGTGCCATTCCGAAGCGAGTTATGGGCTTTTTCTTGCGCAAAAGTGTCATACTAATGAACACGAGAAGGCTGCCTGTAGATAAAAATCTGCAAGAAAAAGGCGCTGAGATATCGATATACACAAATCCAATCTTTTCTCACTAGAAAAAGCTTAACGCAGGTGTATCACCACTTGGATGATGATGACGTGATGCTCGTGAGTTATAAGTATGCCAATTGCGAGCAGGAAAAGGTCCATAACTCGCTTCCTAATGGTACTCGGCAGCTAGGAGTAGCATATTTGGAATCAGCGTTTGAAGCTGATTCAGAATATAATGTGTCTCTTGCCAAAAGGCCGAGCTAAGTTAGGTAGCTTCCCTTGTAAGATATCTCCCATAACTATTCGTCATTTTAAAACTAATCACAGTACGAACTCAGCATAATCATTTTTTGCAAAATTAACCGCAATTTCAAAAAACTTTCAAAATATTCAAAAAATTTCAAAAAATTATTATGACGGGTTTTGAAAAGCTACGACTCCAAAAAAAGCTCCACGGGTTCGTAAATAGTCTATATGATTAGTTTTTGAGGAGTTTCGAAATTATTGTGTTTTAGTTGTATCAGGGTAAGTTTCCAACAAAGGTCCGCGGTGGAGTGTAATGCTTATTTTCCGATTTTAACGACTTTGTTGTACATAGCATCAAATTTGCTTTTGGGAGTCCCTTAATATAGCAAGATCAACTTTTTATGACAAAACTCTCTTCAATGTTCCTACCGAGATACAGTAAAAAGGGGCGCCTCCCTCCACAAAATATATGTGGGTAACTTGGACCTAGCTCCACAGTACATGGTGATGGGAAAAGAATCACGGCAACAGAGACTCTTCGGATTGAACAGTAGTGACATTTCTTGGGACACGCTATTAGACAATCCAGCCAAATGCTAGACATCGGCTATTCAATCTGTATGACTGTTGATTGTCTGTTGCATGATAGGAATTTATATTTTTGAACCGATCTGAACCATGGCACACACACACTTCGGGGCGGGGCGGGTGTCGTGTCCTAGGGTACTATTCATCATTAATCGAAATCGATTTTATCGATTTTTTGCAAAGTATCACCTACGAAGCAGCGTTGACCTGGGGGTGGGATATGAGCACACTAGTTAATAAAATTATATAGTGCCGGGCGGAGCCGGTCTTGCCACAGAAGCGCATAAACTTCACCTACTCGAAGAGCATCATCGCTATTCTGACTCCCTCCATTCGCGCCGTTCTCCCCATCCACCTCCGGCTGATCATCTGTCTCCATAATGTCATCGAGATTGGCGATCCGACTAGGTCCCATCTTCTATCGTAACCTCGAAATAGATTCCTTATTAAATAATTAATGCATACGCATACTCTTTACACACAAAAGTGCAGTCCACGTTTGGTAGCAAAATCCTCTCACTTCGGATCCCTCATCTCACTTTGGATCCTCACATTTATAAAAAAGGATCCTCAGTTACCAACTTGGCCACATTCAAACGGTACATGTGATAATGCATTAAGTCTCAAAGCATCTATGCTTGACAGCGGCGTACCGAGGGGGGGGGGCCGCCCCGAGAACGGGTCGCGAAATTTTTAAAGTTACTTACATGAGTTGTAAAAATGTGCAAGTGACTTGTTTATTTTGTAAACAATTAGAATAATTTTTAAAATCTTTGAAAAAATCAAACTAGCCTTTTTAAAAAAGTTTTTCAGGAGGCGTGGCGTTAGCCACGCCCCCTTTTTCCAGATTTTAGGGGTTGGAGGCCTGCAAAAATTTTGAGAAGTCCCCTAAAAATTTTTCGGAGTGCGTGGCTGACGCCACGCACCTTCATTTGATAAAAATTTTTGCCGCGCCCCCCCCCCCCCGAGCCGAAATCCTGGGTACGCCACTGATGCTTGATAATGCATTATGTCTCAAAGCATTTATGCTTTTGTACTCATTACTATGCCGCTGTTGAGGGCAGCGTTTCGGCAAAATTTCGCTGTTTAGCCTTTCACCTATTCGGACCTTTCTCGCCATGAGCACATATCTACTCAGACAATCCGCAAAATACTTCCAGGGAAAACTGAACTTCTAAAACTTTCAAGAGGACACTCCTATTGGAGCTGCCAAATAGGGCGCGCCAGATAGGGCGAAGTCCACCCACACGGCCAATAGCAGCGTCCACCCTGCAACTTTAGAAGTTCAATTTTCCCGGAAGTAATTTGCGGATTGTCTGCGTAGATTTTTCAGCGCATGAAAATGGCGAAAAAGAAAGTTTTTTTGTAGCTTTCCACGTCCCTATTCAGTTCGCACCTCGCCTCCCTCGTTTCGGACTCGCCCACTTACACTATTTTCTGCTGAATGTGGACCTGGAAAGCTTTGAGAAAAGCCCATTTTTGCCATATTCAAACGCTGAAAAGCCCAAATGTGGGTTCTTCATGGCGAGAAGGCTCCGAAAAGGTAAAAAACTGGAAAACGAGATTTGGCCAGGACATTGCCTTCAGTGGGAAATAAGGATACCGCTATTCGGAAGATACCAGACTCAATTTTTCACAACCGACAACAATGCCTTTTCCTTGAATACTGCTCATAATGAAAGCATTGAAACACAACTTCGAATGAATGACTTCGTCGCGATGCCAAAGGCACAAAGTTTAGTGGAACACTAGGTTTTAAAAGAATGCTTACGGGTCTTCCAATTAACTTTGGATCGCTACAGTTTTACATATATTCTTTCCGCGTGCAATGAAAACATTGGCAATCAGCAAATCTTTGGCTATTCGGAGCACTGTGCTGTTGTAGTTTCACTGGAAAAAATCTCTTAGCTCAAAAAGTTCCAGGAAACTCAAAAGGGAGAAACCGTAACTTAATTTAAAATGTGATAGAGTAGAACAGACTTTACTAGTTGTAGCCAATAGTCGATTATCAAGCATCGCTATCTTTGAATTATATTTGCTATAACTTCAGTATTTGAAAGCATTCATTCTCTCTCTCTTTCTTTCTCTCTCTCTCTCTCTCTCTCTCTCTGCATACAGCGAAAGCCCTGCATTCGCTTTTTTATACAGTGCAATAACCCAAGTCAAGTTTGGATTTGGTAATTTTATCGGCGTAAATGTCCTAGAAGTCATGGTCCGATGTGCACGACTGAAAACTCACTCACAGACATTAAGCAAGTTTGCAGAAAATTCCGGTTTTTCTGCAGTGAATTCAGAGCAGATTGCCAAAAGAAAACTTCCAAAATTCAGTCTTTCAATTTCAGAGGCAAATTTCTGAACGAACTAATTTTTTGCTAAAAGAAAAGCAAGCATAACACTACAGAGTAGATTTTGTGTGCTTGTGGTGCCGAAAATATGCGGTGAATTTCGCGCGAGGACAAATAGCTAACGCGACGCCGTCCACCTGCGCGCGCAAAACGCAGGCATTACTGTAGTGACTAGTGTTCACGCGCAAATTTTATCGCGTTTTACCGCGGTCTTTTGTTGTGAAGCGGTATTTTTGAAAAGGGTTAGAAAAACCTGCTTCAATTCCATTACAACCCGCTCATAATGCCATTGGCTGCACCTCTATGGTGGCACCAAAGTCACCGATAGCAAGAGGAGGACTTTAAGTCGCCGAAAGGAGGTGGTCCGTCGCGGACATCTGCGACAAAGCATGCGGCTCCACACATTCCAGACTTTACAGATTTGTAGCAGCTATCCGCAGATGCAGCTTATCGGGCAAATGATTCCCTACCCCAAGAAAGCCTTTAATTTTTTTTGCGTGCAGAATCTCTCTTAAGCAATACTATACCAAAAAATGAGGTGTGGGAAAACCGCAGCACAAGCATATCCGCTTTTCTCATGGCCCTTTAAAGGAGTACATATGATATCAAACAGTGTATGAATGGCTCCCCAAATTTCCTGATTCTTTAGTGAATTTTATGTGTCACCCAACAATTTCCTTATGATAGAAAAAGAAGGCTTGCTAGAAGTTAGTCAGTGTACAGGGACAACAGCATCAATCACGACAAACTTTAAATAAAGCAAAGATTTTCTCATTTTGAGATTTTTCACGATAGTGTCAGCAGTTTGTTTCAAGGTTGATACAAATCCAAAGTTCTATGTATGTAGCTCTCGCGAAGTTCCATGAAGGAGAAGAATGTCTACAGGGATTCGTTAGGGTTCCAAATCCCAAACAAGTCGAAATATAGGCCTCAACTTGACCGTAATGTTTATTAAAAGCATTAGATACTACTAAAGCACAATCATCAATTAACAACGTTATTATTTTATTACTAATTGAGCAAACTAGAAAGCACATGTTCGATTATTCGTTACAAGCTGGTCATAACAATGGACAAATAGCCAAATAAGATACAGCACCAGATGTAAAAGCTGAATAAATACAAACGATAAATACAGTATGTTAAATGGATATTTCAACAAAAGCGACATTGGGATTAGTGTGGAATAGAATTGTAACAAAATGTCAATATTTTCATCAGGATCATATTAATATAATACTATGCGATAGGATTGAAGAATTATGCATACAATCATTTCGATGGGAGGACACTATAAAAATGAAACTTTCACAAGTCATTACCTACTCAGTAAGTGGTCTCGTTGGGGTAAGGCATTTTGGAAGTAACTGTAAGTAGATAGAGTGAGATCGAGGTAGAAGGAAATATGATAAGGTTACAGTGCTCTTGAGTGAGTAACTATATACAGAATGCAGAGGTTTCATAAAAAACGCAAAGTCTACGGTTTACAATTGCGCTACAATCATCAAGCAATTGGTCATCGAGTTCGAAAAGATTTTTTTTTTGAAAAGTAGGACTATACTCATTAATAAGCGAGAAAATGCACAGTTTCGAAAAGCGAGCGAACCAGCAGTTTCGATTTCAGGTTTCATATAATTTCGGGAATTTTTCTATGTGCTGACCATGCTAGGAGGAGGAAACTGCTCAGCACCTGCTGTGGAGCTAACTTGTCAGTTTCACGCATTCCGCTTCATGAACGATGCAGCAGTCGGGAAGTCATTTGCAAGTGATCAACGAACCAAGAAACTGAGGACAAGGATACAAAATTATGAGTTAGAGGTAAGTGCATTGGTAAAATGGGATCATAAAGCTGCCTTTATTGTTTGGAAGTCGTACTCAACTTCCTTTATGACTTTGGCCAACCTTTTCCTAATAGCTTCATTAGATTCGATAAAGCTATCTTTGTATCTGCAACAAGAAAATTATTTCAGAGGACTCGTCAAAGCATTGACGTACCTCCAGTTGTGAAAAGACTTCGGCGTTTGGCAAAGAGATTTGTTCCACGTCCTCTCCACCAAAGGTGAGTGCCATCTAGCAAACCGCATGCGATCCCTTCTTCTATAATTTTTTGCATTTAGCTGCGGCAGATGCTGTAGATTCAATGAGGTTGTAAAAATTGAATCAGGAGCGGTATTTACCAATCTCTCGCGGCCAGAAGAGAGCGTCTAATCGTGATAAATGAAAGTTTGGTTAGCATGGCCTGAACGGGCAGCGAAGCCCGATCTGTTTAGATCGGTGCCCGATATGGCTGAACTTGCCTGATCGGGCCCTTAAAGGCAGTGTCCGGGCAAAAACTCGATTTTGAGATTTTGTGCTTACTTGAGCCTATTCGCTACGCTGAATCCGAAAATGCACATTGTAGAGCGCAAAAATGGCGAAAAACGGCTCTAACACGGGAGGGAAATGAGTAGGTGGGCGAGGTCCTCCCCACTGCGAATTCACGTTCATGGCTTCCGGAGCGACCTTCTCGCTTCCGGTTTTAAGTCAATCATTCGCACTTGATCGGTGGCGATGTTAGGACGACTAGCGGAATCGAGAAGATCGCTCTGGGAGCTGGGAGCGTGAAATCGCACTGGGGAAAGCCCCGCCCACCTGCTGATTTCCCTCCTGTATTAAAGCCCTTTTCGCCGTTTTCGCACTTTCCAATGTGGATTTTCGGATTCAAATGGCGAATAGGCCCGTATAAGCACAAAATCTCATAATCGAGTTTTTGCCCGGACACTGCCTTTAAGCCCATATAGTGCCAAGTGTGAGGTCCAGACGATATGATAGTGAGGAAAATTTTGGATAATTAGTGTGATCCAATATCCAGCCTTCCATACAGTTTCATTTGTATTGTTTTCATTGTAACAAATATTAGACTGGCACACGATTTTGCAACTAAGTTACTTTTTTCTTTCCTACTGTGGCGCACTCATTGTTGGGCATAACGTAGATTAGTTAGAAGGTTACAAATATAAGCCGTTTGATCTTCGGTAGCCTACTAATTAATCTACATCATGCTCAACAATGAGTCATAGTCAGAAAGAGAAAAGTCACGAAATTAGTTGCAAAACTTATGTACCAATGTATTATAAGACTTTCATTACTTTGCACATTTTTGCGATTTTAACTCAATCAATGCTATGAATTGCACTTGTGAATAATCAAAGTAACTTATAATCAAAGTAACTTCTAAGATTTTTTAAAGATTCAAAAAGTCCTGTAGAAAAATATTTTAGGTTTAAGAATCGGAGTTATGGGCACACAAAAAGTTCAAAAAACATCCCAAGAAATCTTTCGGAGTGCATGGCTAATGCAACGCACTTTTATTTGAGAAAATTCGCCCCCCCCCCCCTCCCAAAGAGAAATCGTGGGACAGCTACATTGATAATTGACCGCTACATACATTGATAATGGTTTACAGAATTTGTTATCTTGGCGTTACAAAAAACTTCAGCGCTGTTGTTTTTGTCGTTGTTGTTGTTCATTTTTTCTTTTGATATAAAACGGTCAGAGATATTACCCACATAGAAAAGTTCAATATAACTTATCTGGGCTGTTCTATATACTTTGACGGGACTTCTCCGAGTATTCAAGATTAGTTCTCGAAAATTTTTGAAAAAATGAAAAAGATTCAATTGTACCTCTTCTGCCATCCATGCAATATGAAGTCGTTGTCGCACCAAGCTGAATTGGTGAGCCATCCATCTCTAGCCCAAGCTCCAGAGTTCTGCAAAAGGTTAACGTGATTGACTTTCTTGACCCAAAATCGATCAAAAAAACCCTAATGACAAAACCTACCTTATCTAGCACCAACACGTGCTTCAACTTATTCGACTTTAGGATCAATTGCATGCATACTTCATAGATAGACAACGAATTATAATCCCTGCAAAGAAAAGAAAAACAGTCACATGTCTCAAACTGTACTACTGTACAATTACTTAGAGATGGCCCATATTTGCTCGCATTTTTCTCGAGGACCCTTCATCTCAGGAAGTTCGAAAGACGCGATGACACTCTTGAAATGTAATGATGAATTAACTCCTCATCAGTATAAATCGACGACCCACATGAATTGCTCCGTTATCTGAGCCATGGAAGCTGTTAGGAAGCGCAAATTCGTAGTTGCTCCAGAGCATCAGAAACTTATGTGAGATATCAGAGTTTCTGTAGAAGGAGGACGTTAAGCCAGCGCATAGAAAAACATCTAGGATTTACCGTAGATAAAGTAGGATGATTTTATCCTTTTTTAAGCCGTAATTCCTCTATTTACAAGTAAACAATTTACTCACTCACATTATTTATATAATTCTTGATGAGGCCATCAATTCTAGCACTTCAGGTGAAAGGTTAACTTAGTGCTACTCTTTCTGCTAAAGGTATAGATCAAGCCATTTCTGACAATCTCCCTTAGTTTTCATAATCCCTTTGAACATCGTTGTAGAGAGGGAAAATAGAACATGCAAAAGCTGAAGAGGAATGAACGAACCGAAGAAGGTAAGAGCCTGCCATAACTTCGTGGTTGAAGATCCTGTTATAAAATATAACGTGAATATCAGAAATAGCAGGAATATACTCTTCTATGAGATGATTAGGATTGACCACAGCCATATCAGCATCGAGAAACAGCAGCCATTCTTCCTGCCATGAACTCAGCAATTGAGCAACCACACAATGCCGTTGAAACATGAACTAAAAAAGGACTAAATTGGGCAAGGGACGAGGCCTCTGTATAAGACTTACGTCTTTTTGCGGACACGAGAGCGACAAAGAACTGTTGTCTTCAACATTCACATAGTGGTAATTGTATTTGTGATATGCAGCATAACACTCTACAGTATCCTGAGCTTGCTCGTATTGCTCTTTGTTAGCAGAATTCTGGACAACAACCACAATGGCGATGGATATTTTGGGATCTGAACGATCAACACAATGCGTAAGAACAAAGTCTAGAACAAAATGCACCAGAGCTACTGGATCCGCGAACAGTCATGAGACAGGCTATAAGCGAGTTTCATAGCAGATATCACAATTCTACATCTAGTTCGCGGTCTTTTCACACCCAAAAATGTTGCTGGTTATACAGTCTGTGTCAACGATGTGCTCCCTTTCCAACTAACTCAAGCGCAGCCCCGTGCCGCGTTCGCAGGCGTACGGCTTGAGCGAACAAATTTGTCGCATCAATAGGAGATAACTGCGTAATGCCCATGGGCTGCGGATGCGTAGTTTCTACAGGAAAGGGATCACGTGGTTGAAATAATTTGTGAAGCAAATTGCTCTACGGCAAATGAGTATTTTGTGCGCCTCAGCTAGCTTTGACAGCTACGAGAACAAGTAAGAATATGCTTTACCTCCTTTGAGTACGATAAGATTCAGATTACGTAAATGTCGACAATAAATACGCCGTATGTAGATATATAATTAGTTCCAAATCTGCAAACGAAATCCGAAAAAGGGGAAAAATGAATCACCTCGCACCACTGATATCGGTATCAGCACTTCCTTAGCATAGTAATTCATAGCTGTGATGAACGCGGTCCCAACATTGACTTCCTCTATAAGGATTACGACCGCAAAGACCAGAATACATGCAAGAAGCCTGAGCCGGCCATTGAGTCCGGCATCAGCTAATGGCCATACACGCATCCACGACTTCCTGTGTTTGAGTTTTGAGGTTGACTTATCTTGGTGAGACGATAGAGACGGATATTTCCGAGCGCAAAAACTAATTAGCAGATATGAACATCTGATGCACAATATATCACATTTATTTCCTCAAAGGATCACAGCCGTCAAATAAACAAGTAATAAGCAAGTCGAGACAGTCATCGAATATTACTGAATAGAATTTATGACGGAAATAAGAAGAAATTCAGATCATGAGAAGTGAATAGCATGACAGAGAAAGATCCATTGCATAGAAATATCTGACTACCGACTAGACTATATCGAGATTGGCTTACTCTTTACATTCTTTACCACGTAATCAGTGAAATTACGGAGGAACTTTGGATACTCTCTTCTATACACGTGTCGTAACGCAGCAGTTGGCACCCATCCACCAGGATGAACTAGAACATGTTTCTGCGGATATCAAATTCGATGGTCTCTGAGAAAACCTTACCTTGTGAGACGTATATTATTTTACATATGACATCATCTCGCGAAAGCTGACCTAAGGTTTTGCCGTTTTTTATGACTGTCTGGCAAATCATGGATACAGTCAGGCCAACGCGAACACCCGATGAAGCTGTGGCCTAAACTGTCAGATAAGAAAGATTACAGCACAAGATGTGATTAATTGCACTACGAAAGGACTCCATAGTTTCCTTGTTTTAGCCGACCCATACAGTACCACAACGAGGGTTTTGCTTGGAATGAGTGACTACTAGCCAGCTGGCACTGCCGACAATTGGTCTGATCTACCAAATCTTTTCTGGTCAATCAACGCACAACGACTGATGTCGCAATGTAAATTTTGGCAGTCACTTTTGCCATACTGATATGGAAATACGCCAAGCAAGATGATGAAGTTTTGGCTGTTTTGTAATTTGAGAACAGTTGTAGCAGAAATTCGTACAGATAATAAAATCCAAAAAAATCAGTTCAAAACACTTTGAAAATGACAGTAGCTTCCCAGTATTCACTTCAAACATGTAAGAGCCGTAATTCGAAGGCAAAATCAGATGTCTGGCTAGTCTGCCAATTTGTCAAGCAATTTTGAGATGGGTGGTATGTTGAGGGGATTTTGGAAAGTGTCTTTAGAAAGTTGTAATCGTATCGTTATTGACAGTATCGTTTTCTAGATCGCAATTCGTTTTTAAATTCTGTAATCAGAGCGTTAGTGAGACTCGTAGATTAAGAATCGTCGATTTACTTGTACAAAGTTGCGTAGGGTCCTGCGGTTGGTGGCGTGATGTCTGGCTATCTTTGAAAAGGATTAAAAGCTTCAACCTTCTAAAGACATGACTTTATATTTTTTATTTCTTTAGAAAGTTGAAATTTCCTACTCTTTTCTATTGATAGCCAGACATCACGCCGCCAAACAGGAGCCTACGCAACTTTGTACAAGTAACGACGATTTTTAAGCTACGAGTCTCACTAACGCGTTGATTACAGAATTTAAAAAGGAATTGCGTTCTAGAAAACGATACTGTCAATAACGATACGATACTGTGATACTGTCACAGGTGGTTATGATACAAAAGTCGATACATGACCTATGAAAACCGAGAGCATGAGTTAATTCAAAAAAAAGTGCGCCTTTCTCGGCTGATACAAAATTGGCGTCAAAGCATAATAAACAAAAAAGGAAAAAAACAAATGAAAAAGATATAACCCTTTCCACATATGATTTGGCATTGCTCTCAACCCAGATTAGTTAAATCATTGGGCCCCTTGAAAAAAAAAACACCAGGAAGTACGTCGAAAATCTCACCGGCACATCTGATCGAATCACATCTTTATTGCATACAATATAGAGATCGTAGGCGTCTTCTGTCTTCATTCCATCCACGCGGCGTATGTGAGAAACAAATAGAGATTCTCGTGCAGCGGCTGGCCATACCTGAATATTTCGGTCACTGAGTGGTTCAGCCTACACAGGTAACACTTGTGAGTATGCTCAAACTGATGATATGGCAGCTTACCACTCACATGGCTAGCATACTACACATACCGTTTTGTGCTTTTGGTGAAGAACCATCGTATCATGGCTGATTTTTTCCACGACATCCATACCATTTATAGTGTGGTCCCACTCCATTTTGTACTTTTCGTCGTAGAAATAGTGCATATACTCGAGTGCAGTAACTCCCTGAAAATACAGCTGAATTTGCGCATGAATCGAAAGTAAAATGCTTATCATGAGCATTCAGGTGACGCAGCCCAAAAGGTAGATAGCTCGGCAAAAAAAATAAGTTCGGCTATCAATCTTCGAATAACTCTCCTATCCTCCAAAACACTAGAACAAGAAAACTGCCATATGCTGCGACATTTAGTGTACATATGGTTTAGCTGTCAAGAAATTCGCTTGGTCATTCTACATTCTACAAATGAATTAAACAAGTTGTACAGATGAGATTCAAATAAGTAGTGCAAACGTGTTCCCATTTACACGCGCCACTAGAACATGATTAGAAAACGAAATATATAGATCTGGGGCTCTGGGAACAAACTTGCTATATATTAAAACTTTTCCTTTTCCAACGTAATGTTATCGCGATATGTAGACATGATGCTAATGCCTCCTTTGAATACATATTTGGTTCTCTATTTGATTCCCTTCCTTCAGCAAAACCCAAAGCAGCTGCGAATTTTTGCTCTCAACGTGAACGCTAGTCGGAGATAGTTAATTATTTTACAGAAAGAAGAAAGAATAAGACTACACAGAAGCATGCGTAAAACAACGAACCTGTACTTCATGAACTGCTTTCAGGGGATCTACCGGTAATCCTCCATCAACAGTCTCTTCCCGAGTATACATTTTCATAGCCCCATCCTCGGCGAATAAGGTCCAAACATTATTTTCCACTCCAGCGAGCGCATACCTACAATCAATAGAAGGAACGCTTAAAAACTACCGAAACGACTGCAGACTTACTTCAACTGGTCTGTTACTAACGCATCCAAAAGCTTATAGTATTCGTGAGATACAGGGATAGAGATGTTGTCATAGTCTCCGAAAGGAAGAGCCTAAACAGAGATATTGTAGCAGCATTTATCAAAATTGATTGCCGTGATAGCGGTGATAAACAACATACCCTCTTGTATTCTGGCTGGATTTCAGCAATTGTAGGGAGCGGTGTCGGCTCAATAATTGCGGGTGCGGGAGTACTTGGTGTCCGTCGCTCTGTTGCTTCTTCAGCGCTGTCAATAGAAAGCGATGAATGCTCATCCGCGTCATGCCACTCATCACCGCAGTCACTTGTCTGCAATAGGCAATTCAAAGATTCAACCTTCAGATACACGACCACACTCAGGTGCAAAAAAAGAACTTAAAGAACGGGATTGAATGCTACCTTCAAGCGAGTTCCCAAAGTGGTCACAGTGATGTATAAAGCAACCTCACATAAATTAAATCGTAAAATGACATACAAGGTCGTTCACTGATTGCAGCGCTGTATCAAGTCGTAAAGTAGTTTCACGCGATGTGGATTCACATTCATCAGTAACGGGATGAGGAGAAGGCGTGGTTGGAGACATAGGAGTGCATGGAGCCCAATCGCCTTGCATATCATCGGTAACTCTCTACAAATAACATAAAACACACTAAATACTTCTAACGCTACAAATATCTGTACCTCGTTTTTTGCAAGCTGAATAATGTGGTTGATATTGTCTAACATGGCGACGTGAGTCGCATTGATGGATAGAATTTTCGCTTGCTCAATCCCCATCTGCTGCAGTTCTCTTCGAATCGATGCCATTTGTTCCCGATACATTGTACGATAAGCTTCTAATTCAGCTATTCGGGATATGATGGCATTCTGCTCCTCAAAGGACATTTGCAAAGCATCAAAACATATTGAAAAATTCAATGTATACCTCAGTCTTTTCGTCCAGTTTCATTGATGATAATGATGTGTTCCTCGAGTGCGTTTTTGTAGCGTTACTGCTATAGTCAGAATCGTTCTAAGATGAAAATTTCAAGGCTTGTATTCGAAAATATGCGTATGTATGAAAATCAGTACAAGAAATCTAAATCACTTACAGAGCCATTTTCCATTGCTTTTATCCACAATGATCGATTTTTGGGATTTTCTGCTCTTAAATACCAAGTAACGTCTGCTCCAACAGAAACGGAGAATTCGCAGTCATTGAACTCATGCAGCTAAACAGACATTAATAAGGACAACTCACAAACTTTCAAGAACAACAAGAACTATAGAATGTGAAAAGGATAAATGTGTAAAACAAGGAAATAAAAAATCTTACAGTGATCTCAAGACTCTTCAAGGAGATGCTCCCGCGGCAACCGGACGCTTGATCCGCTTTGCTCATGTAGTAAACGAGTTGTCCATGTTTGATTTCAAAATACCTTTCTCTCCATCCATTTATGTAGTTAGTCCACTTGAACAAAGTGCCGGATGAGGGAAGCACGCTGCAAATGGGGTTTTTTGCCCAGAACGCCGGAAGTAAAGTGAAAAAATTATTTAAAAAAATCATACACTTGCTGTTGGTTCACGGAAGCCGTCTCCATCCAACTGCGATCAATGTCGCGCCTTGGCAAATGCAACAGAAGCAAACACTGAAACAGGTTAGTCAACGGTTAAGCTGCCGCGATCAGCGGGAAACGGCAGCCAAAGACGCTGAACAAAGATTTGGAAAATCGAACGAACAAGGTAGGAATGGATACAAATAAGAATGAATGAGTAAAAAGATGGAGATGAAGCGCAGTCCCCAAAGCGAAACGCTCAATTTTTACTAGAAAAAGGATAGCGTAGTCGAAGAAAGGACCCAGAATAAGCGGAAAGTGAAAGTCAGTCATGCGCTGTTTTTGAATGCAAGCGTGTAAAAGTCCAAGCTTCAATGGTTAGATCAGTACCCTACCAATCATCTGAAAAAACATCACATTAGAAGCTCTAGTTTCGCTCTATAGCAATAAGAACAGACTCTGTAGCAAAAGAAAGACTATGAGCGCTATCAAAGCCTGCATGATCTCATGCACAGAAGTAGATATCAACAAAAAAGCTTCAAGCAAAGAGACGACCGAATAATCCCGAATGTCAAAAATCCTACACATGATCAAGTGAGAAAGCGAGAAGATTAAGTGCGATCTAATTACTGAACCAATTTCCACAAGCTCGAATATTCAAGAAAGGTAAATTATTCTGAGTTTCTCTCAATAATTCCTTGATTCAGAAATAAACGAGAAAAGATGATTCCAACGATCCAATCACTGATTCTTTCATTTGTAAAAAGGCATCGCCGACACGACTAGAACATAAATGACTCTTTTCTATCAATGCAAGGCACGGCACTACAGATCACAAGCGGTGATATGGCGCATACGACATCTTCTGTAAACATTGCAAAATGTTGGTAGTCACTTATAGAACTGACCCTTCACTCGAAAACTGCTAATTCACAAAGGAATATACAATGGAAAATTATGATCTCCTACTGAACAAATCGAGAAAACCATGTAAAATAACTAGCGAACAAGGGCCGTAATAATCAATTGAGCTTAGAAATCCACCTTAAAAGCGCGTGTCCATATCCACAACAAGCAGGGTATGTTTGACCTGTTCAATACCAAGCTAATCTTAAGATATTGAAATTTATCCAAAGGTAGGCACTCATAGATAACCCTCAAGGTAGGTAGGCACTCATAGATAACCCTCAAGGTTCCTAGGAATACGGCCACAAAGGCACACCTTCTTACAAAAACGATGCTTCCCTTCTTTTTGGACATCGAAACCTCAAGTAAAATGCATATCACACATTCTTCAACATAAAGCTCACAAAACAACAGCTCACAAAATGCACACTCTTAACTTGATTTGAGGAAGAAAATGACCTCGGTTATCTTACGCCTTTGTGATTTCAACCCCAAAGTTTTTGTTTTCAACCACAAATTACAGATTGGACAGATGAGATTAATAAAAAAGACTGATAAGAACACCTGAATGACGTTGACGAAGCAGCTGATAATTCGGCGAGTCGCTGGCGAAGTTCCGAGTTTTGAATTGCGCACGGGTCCTGCAGTGTAAATTGCTCTCCAGTCTACGGTAACGGTGTCCGGGCTCCCGCCCCTTTGGAAATGAGCTTGCCCTCACTTCTGTTGGTGCTTGCCGCAGCTACTCCGGTAGTTAGACTCAGTGACGACACCTGTTCCCAGGACTCTTGCCCTCCTACAATGTCTGTGAACGAGAGGACATTCATCGCGGTCAAGCCCGATGGCGTTCAGAGGTATTTGACTACTTCCTTACATAAAAGTGACTCACAACTTCAATCCTAAAATTTGCAGAAATCTTGTTGGGAAGATTATCGCACGATTTGAAGAGCGTGGTTACAAGCTCGTTGCTCTGAAGATGATGACTGCTTCCAAAGCACATCTCGAAGTAGGGTCAAGCCATATTTATAGTTATCGAACTTTTCGTAGAGAGAAACTTCTCACAACTTTAATGTCTTGGAAATTTTATAAAGTGTGTTTTGTCGGGCACTCACGCCTTTGCCAGAGAGGTCGATATCGGAATAATCGGTTAAAAATTCATGAGACTGACAGTTTTGCGTGCGAGAATGATACTGACACATCATTTTTTTTTTGGAAGAGGGGCAAAATTTACTTTTGCAAGAGCGAAAAATAGAGACGTATAGTCATCTGTATGTGGAACAGAAATCAAAAAGCTGAACCCTGTACATGGCGAATAAACTCTGCCTTTAAATGGTTTCTATGTGAATCAGGAGAAGAACATGCAAAATAGGCGTTGTTGCCTGATACCCCTGATTCTTTCCTTTTATTTCATGTAGAAATCATCGTAACTGTTTTTGGAAGTATCGTTTTTTTGCGTCCCATGGGTTTCAGAGAGAAAGTTGCGAGGAAATGGGATAGTATTTATTTCTCGCAGTTCCATACCAACACTCATTTTTTCTCGCAGAAAATATCAGAAACTGTAGCACTTTTTGCGCGTTTGAAAAATCGCCAATCGAAGTGTCTTTCGATTAAATACAAGGTGCAGTCTCCTCACGAATTCAGTCAGTCATACTAAGCCTTTTGCGTTGACACTTTATGTAATATATCGGATATAGGGCCGCATGCACTAACATTTCCGCTGAGGAGGGGATCGCAGCTTCAGAAGAAAGCTTCATATCCTGAAGCTCCGGATATCTGGATTTCACGCTGTCTACCTGCCCATAAGTACTCCCATTATCCTTCATTATGAACATATTGAGCAGAAGCGAGAAGCTGTACAAGCCGCATTTCCTAGCTTTTTGTAGGATCCCCTGATGATCCCTGGGGGACGAACATCTATTCTGCAAAGTCATTTTTCTCTCTCCGAAGTCAACGAAAACCTTTCAAAGTTATACTAAACATCTAACACAACAGTGCTAAGCATGTTGCTGATGAGAACAAATGAATTTTTGAAAAATCGAATTTTTCGGTATACCCCAAATTTCGACCTGTGGATCATCGAAAATTTCATGACTTCGAAACATCGTTTGTTCTTATCAGCAACATGCTTAGCACTGTTGGGTTAGATAATCTGTACAACTTTGGAAGTTTTTCGTTAACTTCGGAGAAAGAAAAATGACTTCAAAGAAAAACGCCGGGGATCATCAGGGATCATACAAAAGCTGAGAAATGCGGTTTGTACAGCTTCTCGCTCCTGTTCAACATGTTCATAGTGAAGGATAGTAGGAATACTTACGGAGAGCTACACAACGTGAAATCCAAGTATCGGGAGTTTCGAAATATGAAGCTTTCTTTTAAGCTGCGATCCCCTCCCCGCGGCCATGTTAGTGCATGCGGCCCATAATCAACCTTTTCCAGGTCCACTACCAAGAGTTGAAGGACAAGCCTTTCTTCCCGAAACTCATAGAGTACATGAGCTCCGGACCCGTCGTTGCTATGGTCTGGCAAGGTCTGGATGTGGTGAAGCAGGGCCGTTCGATGCTCGGCGCCACCAACCCGCTCGCCTCGGCCCCAGGAACCATCCGCGGTGATTTCTGCATTCAAACTGGTCGTAACATCTGTCACGGTTCGGACTCCGTGGAATCCGCTCAACGAGAGATTGCACACTGGTTCAAACCCGAAGAAATCAACGATTATGACAGCCCATTCATTAAGACATGGGTTTACGAGTAGACTATGACGAGGTAGTTATAGAATGTTATGTTTTTACCGATAAACTTATTTCACACCTTGACGGTTTTGTTACAGTATACCAGTGTAACAATCAGACAATTACAAATGAGTTTTTTGCGTCGAAACTAGGACATTTCATTATGCTTATAGTGGGTATCGCTTTTTATAGGCAACACCTTGTACTACGGTTGTCTAGGCAACGAAAGAAAACCTACTTAATACTTCATCAAGTAGATGCAGTTATAAATCGCGTATATTGTTTCGCAAAGTAAGTGTGAAATAGGATAGCTGAACGGCATGAGACTGTTTATTGTTATGAGATGCAAAACGAATACTTTCACATTCAATCGGATCTGAGTCTTTGAAATCATGGAGTACTTTGCATAAGTTGTTTAATCATATAGTGCGTGAAGAATTACAAATCATCAAAAAAGTGGAAAGAGGTCTGGAAGTACTGAACGTCATTGGCACTTGGTGATTATGATAGAAAATTCAAATACATCATTATCCTATCAAGTGTCCAAGAGTTTGTGAAAGGTTCGTATTGTAGAAGTCACATTCGGGATGATCGAGATGATTTTCAAAGTCTTGCACACTGCGATAAAGCTTGTCATGAATAGCCCGTGACAGGATGGTGAGCGACTCAGATGGCGTATCTAATCTGAAAAAAACTGTTTCATGTACTAGTTGGTAATTACTTTCCGTAATCACTATGCCAGGCCAAAAGTCAAATGCGGTTTTCACGAACACAATGTGTCCTTGAATCACGGCTGTACGCATTCCGATTCGATCGATTACTTATGAAAGCCAGGTGACGCGGAACTGCAGTGCACTATGGTAGTTTGCTCTCACAACACTAGGAGAAGACAATCCCATGCCGCTTTTTGCACGTAAACGTGGCAGCAAAAGTAAGAATAAGCGCTGCCTCCGGGCAACGAACATTCTCAAAACTTCCAGGAAACTTTTTGGATGGCAGTCATCGCGGCCTCTCCAAGATCTAAATATTCTTCACTTCCATTCCCTCTCTATCTAATTTCGGAATCTCATTTACAAATAGATGGTGCCTCTAGCCGAATTCCCACCTTGTTTCAAAAGGTGTGGAGCGAAAGGTGATCACGCAGCCGAAACGGACGCGCGACCTCCAGAAGGTAGGCGCGATAGTGGGCTGAACTTTTCGTTGCCTCCTGTGCCCTTCTAATTTCAAAGGCTTTCTATTATTGCAGAGGTGAAATCCAATGTCGAGCAAAGGTATGGCTATGACCGCCGTGTACGACCCCCCCCCCCCTCCGTCAGCCCGTTTCTTCCCAGCATTATCGTCTACCGGTGATGGACCGAGGGGAGGGGGCGCACTCCCCCGAGAATGGTCGAACGAATTTTTGAATGTTACTTACATGGGTTATATACAAGTGCAAGTGACTCGATTAAACTTGTAAAAGATTGAATATTTTTTGAAATCTTTCAAGAAATCAAATATCTTTTAACAATTTTTCGGGAGCATGGCTCTGGCCTTTTTTCCTCAAATTTCGAGGTGGGCCCGCATAAAATTCCGCAAGCACCCCAAAAAATCTATTGGAATGCGTGGCTCACGCCACCTTTATTCAGAAAAAGGTTTTAGGGGCCCGTCTCTCCTGAACAGAAATTCTGTGACCGCCATTGTCGTTTACTTATCGTTAGGCATTACATGAGCTAACCAATCATAAAAATAACACAATCGTAATCAAACAAAGTTGCGGACTAATTCAGCAAATTTGAGGTTTTCAAATATTGGGCCACATGTGAAATGGTCATTTTCAAACACGATTAGTCTTTTATAGGTGAACTAGATGGCATACCCGGCTCCGCCCGGGGCCAAACTTTGCACACATACATTTCGGGGCAGGGAGCGTGTCATAGTCCACTTTTCGTTATCGATCGATGTCGATTTCACCGATTTTTTGCAAGTTTTGAGCTAGGGGGCTGGGATTTTGCACAGGGGGGTAACCGAACATGCTGATCACCCCCACGGGGGTGATCAGCATGTTCGATTACCCCCCTGTGCAAAATCCCAGCCTCCTAGCTCAAATTTTGCAAAAAATCGATATCGATCGATAACAAAAAGTAGCCTATGACACGCTCCCTGCCCCGAAGTATATGTGTGCCAAGTTTGGTCCAAATCGGTTCAGAAATAAAAATTTCTATTCCGCACATACGTACAGACAGACAGACATACAGACAGACACACATTCAGCTTTATATATAAGATAAGCCACTCTTTTTGCACGCGATACGAAGCACTAATCTGTCTTTGCCCATGTGAGTAATCTTCCCTCAAATAACCGTTAAATTGTGAAATTAGAAGTCAGCCAAAATCTCGTTCGTCCATTTTTTGTTGTGCTTGTGCCTCCAGCAACTGTTATTTGCAACTGTTATTCAGGGTAAAAAAGACGAATCAGTCTCAAATTAATGCTGTGAAAAATGCGAGATCTAGGCTATTGAACTATGTATATACAGGGTGCGCCAAAAAAAAAATGTTGGTGCGTGTTTCTGCGAACGCAAAAAGAATACAAGACGCGGATCAAGCATGTTTTCACCAACCACTATCATCGTGATACTTGGTGTCATTCTTCGAAAAGATCCGAATTTCTCGTTTATTGATTTTACTCTGTAGGTAGGCATAAGTGTACAAATCTGTACGATATCTTTTTCAAGACCTATTCTGATTTCGAGATTCAGTAAAATAGAGTAAGACTTTGCCTCTAACAATGTTGAGCACGAAAATTTAGAGATCAATTTGAAGAGGCTTTTCGATTTTTCACAAACACGTTCGGGAGGCATAACAAAAAACAGTGTTATTTTGGCCTTCCTAAGTGCGCTTTAGAAGCAGGAAATGTTTTCTGAATTAGTTTCCAAAATCACAAATTAGTCACGATAGATACTCTTTTATGTGTCTCATAAATAAAAACATGCTTCTCACTAGAATTTTTGCATGCATGTAGTCTCATAAATTGATTTCGAGCGTGAGATCGTTGCTCGTACGCTGGCACTTTTCGTAAATATATTATAGAAAGGCAAATTCTTGAAATTGCAATTAGGACTATGCGATGGTTAAAAAGTTTACTCTATATCATACTTAAATGGATTAGAAAGGCTTTGAGTTCGTTTAGCTGCGAAACAAAATATGAAGGTATGGAAAACCCGTTCTTCTTTTTTTCGAAAACCATTAGTCCTGTTCCTTTTATTTTCCACAATTTCGGAAGGCAGTTTTTATACGACATAAATTTGAGCACATGTTTAATTATTTCCAATGTTTTTTGTGGCAGTAGTGCAAATTTCGACGCCACTTATTGTGGCGCACCGTAGTGCTCTCTAAAAGTGTGGAGGTAAGTTAATGGGGTGTGGCACAATCTCAAAAAAAAAGCTGTAGCTAGCATACCATTTTTGGGGTTATGCCACACTTCATTAACTTACCTCTAAAGTATTCATACATCCAAACGTTTTGAAGTTAGACCACCAAGTCTCCTTCTCTTCATGATGAAATTTCATCCAAAATAATTACTCCTACAAGAAGATATAGCCATTTTACAAGTGCATATTCATAGCAATCATTGGACAAATTGCGATAGTCTGCTATGGTCTGCGCTACTACGTATATAGCGAGGTAAGGTGGAGAAAAATGTATATTATCTCATAGCTTAGATCTCGTGGTTTTCACAACAGTGACTTGGGCCGAATCCGTTTAGTGTGGATAATGTGGATAACAGTTGTTGAAAGTCCTACTATCAGAGAGAAAATGAGACAAACGAGAATTTAGCTGGAATCTAAAGCTTGGGGTTATTTGAGTGGGATTTCTCTTTGGGTAAAGAAGGAGTAATGCTTTGTACTGAGTGCAAAAAGAGATAGTTGTTTCACTTTAAAGATAAAGTCAGTCGTTTTCAAAAAGAACCTATTTCACTTGGGTGGTTTGCAATGGCGGTCTCATTCGGACGGGGGGAGGGGTAGACAAAAATAAGTGAAGTGCGTGGCGTTAGCCATGCACTCTGGAAAATTTTTGAGATGCTTCCCAAAATTTCTGTTGGCCCATGACCCTGAATTTTTTTTTACAAGGCTGATTTGAATTTGAAAAATTTTGAAAATTATTCTAATTATTACAAGTATGAGCTAGTCGCTTGCACATTTTCATACCCACTGGTGCATTGATATTCGGAATCAGAATTCGCTAAAACTCGATGTTATTTGGCATGCTAATCGCGGAAATGATATACTATCCTTTGTCGAGACGCAGACTAATTAGATGGTCCGACAGTCCCCACGAACTGGGCGGTGACCAGAATCTCCAGATGAGCTGGCACCTCATGGGTGCTCGGTGGTCCCCTCCCCAGTTATGTCCCCCTTTTGATATACATGTTATGATGATAAAATCATCTAGTCAAGAATTCTTCTGCTGAGATGCAATACAACATGGTAGAGGGATCAAGTCCCGAGAATAGCTCATTAGACTTGACACCCTCTTGGAGCTTTATTATAATGCTTACTGAACGTATGCGACAGCTTGCTTCTGGAAATTTTTTGCGGCGTTACCCCTAAATTCCAAAAATCCCCCTTCCCCTTTGGTCCAACACTGGTATACGTGATGGATCAACACCAGTGTGCCCGTATTTCGCAACAACTTATTTTATTGACACATAGCATCTTATCGATAACATCAGTGTCAGGTCGATTACGACCCCCTTCCCTCTCTAACCCCCAGTACGACCCCCCAGGTGTGGCGTGCCACTTCCATTTTTTGGTCGTTCCGGGGCCTTCTCATGTCCCTGACTCCGTGAAGTCAAGAATCCGTGAAAACCAAGACAATCCCGTTTCGAAGAGCCCGCAGGCCGGCTCTTCAGAACGCTGATTGGATGGGTGCGGCGGGCATTACTGGAGGGGGGGGGGGGCGATGCCGACTTGGAGTCCTCATGCCTCTTCGCTATTCCGAAGCGATTCTCCTTCCAAACTTACTATCCTTAACTGCCAAAAGATCAAAACCCCCAACTTAGGGTGGACGCTGCCTTTGAGGTGCATCTGACATGCTTTATTAGCGACTGTGATGGAAGCCTCATTTTCCCCAATGCCGTGCGTCTAAAATCTGCATGTATCTATATAGTCGTCTATATGTGGCAAGCAGTGGCGTACCGAGGGGGGGGGGGCGGAAAGTTACTTATATGAGTTATAAAAAAGTGCAAATAACTTGCCTGCACTTGTAAATAATTAAAATAATTTTTAAAAATTTTTAAAAATTCATAGCCTTATAAAAATTTTTTTCAGAGGCGTGGCTGACGCCAACCCCCCTTTTTCTGAAATTTTGGGGTTGTGGGCCCGCGAAAATTTTGAAAAGCGTACCAAAAATTTTTTTTTTCTGGGTGCGTGGCTGAAGCCACGCACCTTTACTGAAAAAATTTTTGTCGCCCCCCCCCCCGCGAGCCGAAATCCTGGGTACGCCGCTGGTGGCAAGGTATGGTAAAAACCAAAATTTTTTTGAAAGCACCGACCATTTTCGAAGTTCATTCTGTGGACAATTGGCGTTAGCCCTCGGACAGAGTTCACGCGATTTGCTCGTCGCAATTCAATCGCTACAGACAAGCGTTACGAGTTCATTGCATGCCGATCTTCTTTTCGGTTGTGATAGTTTTCCAACACGACTAATCGTGATTAACTATCACAACCGAAATACAAGAAAATCGTCATGCAATAAACTCGTAACATTTATCTGTAGCAATTGAATCGCGACAATCAAATCGCGTAAGCTCTGTCCGAGGCCTTAGAGTGAAGCTGTGAATGAAAGAGAGTACAGGCATAACATTACTTTATATGCAGGAAAATCACTTCGGAAGTGCAACTGATCCTGTTTAAATCCACGGACTGATGTCATATCTGCGCAGAAACAATCGATTTGCGCTGGACTCGAACCTTTGGCGCACTTTCATTATCTTGTGCCCAACAACAAATCTGCGTAAGAAAGGCAAAATAAAATTTGTCCCTCAGATGAATTTTGACTTCTTTCATGCCAAAAAGAAGAGGAAAATCCAGCGTCAAAATGTGTTCAGACCATAGGTGTGATAGAAAAAGCAGGGTCCTCTCCAGGTGAAGGGGGTTTCGGCTATTTCCGACCTAAAAAAGTGAAGGGGCAACTGAACCTTGAGGTGGATGCTGATGTAGGATTACATGTCGAGTACTGAGGTGGACAAAGAGGTAAAATAAGCGGTGCGAGCGTGTGATATGAAATATTTCTCAGGCTTTAGTTTGAAGTCATCGAGCACAGACCTTTTGATTTAATAAAGGTTTATGTCTCAGCAATCGACATACATTTGAAAGCTTGGAATTAGGTGAAATCTGTTTGAAATTTATTTAGCTGCAGCATCAGCTGATTTTATGCGATCAGTTTGCGCTCCATTTCTGAAAGGAAGAGGAAAGCTAGAAAGAAAGAATGGTCTACGTTTACTGGCAAAGTATTGCTCTATAACGCAGTTGGACGATCAGGCGTCTTCATTCATACTTTGCGTAGAAATTTCCTCACAACACGCATGTTTTCAGCTTAGACGTATATCGTATCTATGAGCAGAGGAGCGCTAGGAAAAAAAAGAGACGGTCTATTTCGAATCCCTTGAATCCCCATTTCGTGAGATTTCTAACGGTATACAGATTATTAAACGAAAAACTTGTGACTCTATAAGAATGGGGAGTAGATAATTACTATTAGCCTGCTCCACCCCGCTCCATTCAATGGCTTGGCTTTCATGGGTCACCGGAGCAAGACTTTCTTAAAGCAGAAAAGCTCTCTGCACCAAAGTTTATATATGATCGGCTCCCAGATTCGTGTGGAGGCGGGTGCGGACTTCCCTGATTTTAAGGATAAGCTTAACAAGAGAGTACGAAATACAACGCTATGCGCGGAGGTTTAACAATTTCATCCTGAAAATCAGGGAAGTCCGCAGCCCGCCTCCACACGAATGTAAACCGATGATACCATTAGAAAGCTAAGAGCACGATGAAATGACGTAGACCGTCCCTTTTTTACAGCTGTTCTGAGAAGCGAGATATGAGGTATTTTATCTAAATACAATATCAGCTGATTATGTAAGTTATTTTATGCTTTATTTCTAAAGCGATAAAGTATTTTTTGAGGCTTCGCTTGTGGATGAAAACTGAAAAAAAACGAGAAAAAAAGTTATAATTTGCTTATAAAATATAATTTGATTCTTCTCAGTCATCCATCACTGGGCACACCAAACTTCCTACTCTTGCATAATTCTTCTCTGCGACAATATAATTCATTGAACAATGTTGCTCTCAAAGAAGCAGACATCTCTTAATTTAGGTTTATTTCGCTATACTAAACCACTCTGAGTGAGATAATAAGTCTCAAGCTACCCATTTTCTCAGCTAACGCTGTAAAAGTGCAGCCATGTCATGCACTGACTGAGAAGCAACAGCTGGCGGTCCCAGATAAAATGTACACCATATTTATTGATGTTATATTCTGCCGTTATGCCTTCAAGGCACCGTCCATCCAAAACTTCCACCTCCATGTTTTTGCCGTTCCAGGGCTCTCTCATACCCCTGATTCCGAACATCAAGTGGAAAATCCGCGAAAACCCTGTAAAACCCCTTTTTCAGAACCCGCAGAGCGGTTTCTTCCGTACGGTGATTGGTTGGGCGCGCACGGATGGGCGGGACGAACGTCACGCCCACTCCGAAAGGGGAGGAGCCAACGTCACGAACGCAGCCTGAAGCGATTTCTGAAGCAATTTCCTCGGTTCCGAAGCAAGTTCAGGCAGCGCGAGTTGGGCAATCATACAGTTGGGGGCCCCGCACATCTGCTAGGTATCATAATCTCACCAACCCCAATGTGGGTGGACGATGCCTTTAACCCTACTCTAAATGTCGGTGAAGGGTGATCATCAGGGTTGAGCGTGGGGTCAGGCGCGCCCGACCTGGGGGGTCGTACTGGGGTAAGACAGAGGGGGGGGGGTCGTGATTAGGAATCGAATTCGTTCGATTGAGGAGATACTACGATTAAGGTGAAGAAGAAAAGCGCTAGTTTAGTGGATATCGCGACCTCACCAGTACTGAAGGAATGAACGGTCTTAAACAGCATACTGATTGATTCCACAATCGAAGTTTCGGCCAAAACTCAAATCTTCATCTTCTACCTTGACATATTATAAATTCATCAAGGAAGCTTGCTGTGTGAAATGGGTATCATTTCCGAGCACGTCAAATTACCTTTATGAGCCCTACAAACCATTATTCACTGCATTATCTAGTGTTTCTCAACGACTAAAAAGCGTGATTTTCAAACATGATTAACTTGTTTTCAAAAGTGAGAAAAGTCAATTTTTTTGTACTCGTAACAAAGTATTGTTCCCTACTAGTCTAGGCTAAAAACCGCGCTTTGTATCGCTTGCAAATAGTGGAGTAAGAAATAATGCCAAAATTCCGACCGGCGCGTTTTTCGCCATGACTGCTTCAACTCCACGGATTACCACAAGGCCGAAACAAGTCGAATCAAGTCTAAACACTTACTGTGGAATCTTCGAGGGTTGTGCTAGCAATTCACATAAAACTTGAATAAAAAAGCTTCTTTAATGATAAAGTTAATCGGGTCAGGCGCAACCCCACAAAAGGTCAGGCCGCCTGAGCTTTTGAGGGGTTGCGCCTGACCCGATTAACTTGTTTTCAAAATCTAAAAATCGCTCCATTTTTGCTATGAGTATTGAACTCAAAGCCTCTTCTTGCAATACTGCAAATTTGGAGCCAAACAATACACCCCTTTGGGAATTATAGCTCTAAAAGTAGGGCTATCCAAAATCCAAAACTTGCCGTCAAGTTGCGTGTGCTGTGCAATCGCAGAAAGTCGACCTACACCTCCAAAAAACAAGAACCTCTTAAAAACGGCTGATTTCTTCGAATTATCACAGCCTGAGGTCCTGGAGGTGAAGCAGAGGGGTCGTCTAGGGGCTTTCACTGGGGGGGGGGGTCGTTTTGGAAAGACTTGTGCCTGACCTCTTGCTCAACCCTGGTGATCATCCAGATGCCGGCCCAAAAAGAGGGGCGAACAAATTGCTCCACCTAACGCAACTATGATTCAGACACTGCATCCGTCAGCGCGCTAGAGTATGCAGCGATTGGGGCACCTAATGTGTATTCGAGAATACCTAACAGCGGCAACCAGTAATTTGATCGAGAACTCGAACAGCAAACCATAAGCTTAGTCAGAAGACTTCAAAGTAGTGCTAGACACTCTCAGATATGGTATACACAAATCTAAGAAACAGAAGTATATGGTGAAACTGACCGCGTTTCTTTCCAAGATTCGCCTTCTTTGAAGTAGGCACAAAGCGAGTTGCTCTCGCAGTCCGGGCTGAGATTCCAGTTGGTCACTTGTACGAGAACAGCTGCAGTATTGCACACAGACATCACATTTTCGCATAACCGAACAGCATACGGATTTAGGCTAAATTTATTATTCCAAACCGAGTTGTACCGTGAGCACTGACAATATAAATTGCAGTGCTATAATATGACATCGGTTAAATTCTAGCATATTAAGTAACTATCAAAAGCGGACAAAGGGGGCGGGGGGGGGGGGGGAGTGGCAAAATGTCCGGAAGTGCTCTATAGTTTTTGAAATTGAAGAACTGGGAAGAATGTTGACAAAAATGGCAGAACATTGATATTAAGCCAGCCATGTTCATGATGCTTGGGTGTTCTTATGATCTCAGTATCTTATGGCCGTCTGCCTCAATCTAGGACCCGGCAAAATCTCTAGGATTCATAAATCCTGCTTTCAAGGTTGCCCAAATCCGCACCTTACGAACGCCTCTGTCATTACTCAGCAAAACTGACGAAATCAAAAGAGGTCTGTATTATCAAAGTATACCTTCTATCTTTATAATTCTCATTAGAAAAATAGACTCCCACTATATTTGGATAGGAAGCGTAAATCACTGCAAGGGAAATTTCCAAAGATGGTGCTAGTGGCGATGATTCATGAGATAATGGAACCACCGATGTTATCTGAAATGAAAACATATTAGAGAGATTTGCAAAATCAGGTATAAGCAGCGGAACCTCGCCTTGACTTTGCTACCCGTTTTAGTACCAAGAAGTATTCCATAGACGCCGCTGTATGGATACTTCAAGCAATGTAATACAATAGTCGAATATGGCACTGGAGCTACATCCACTGCCATTTCGGTTCGAGGCAGTGATTAGGATTTCGATCCCACTCCTAGCTGTTTGTCGATTGATATTCGAGTACTCTTCCCCTTCAACATAGAGCATGGAAGGAATTGCAAATAGGTAAATATCAAATGTTACAAGTATTTGCAATGATAGTACAAAAACCACACAGAACGTAAGAAACATTGCATATTATTTATTTGGAGAAGATGAGATGAAGGGCTTCTACTAGATACATCACAGATCGAAATAACATGCTGCATTACAAAAGCAATGCGACAATGTGCAAGTGCAGCTTCATAAGATATTTACAGTTAGCATGGTCGAATTCGCCAGCGCGTTGATGAAGATAATGACGCGAAAACATCAGTCAGAAGAGATAATGATAAACTTGTCAAAACAACAAAGACAAATCGCTTACGATATATGGAGACATCAACTTATTGAACTGATATTGATCATAAGGACATAAAAACATTTGACAATGACGCAAGCAAGAAAACTATGCAGAATTGCCAAGACAATCTCAATAAGGAAAATCCAATTTTTCTACCTTCACGAGTGGAACACATTTTTTCACCCAGTCCGGGTTGACATCAAGACCACGACGCCGAGCTTCATATAACCACATATCTCTCTGGAAAAACCTGATTTGAACATTTAAGAATGAAAATATCTCAAGCCAAATGTTGAGAAATTTTACAATCTAGGGAACAAGCGTATAGGATTGGATTCGTTCTATAACGAAGTTGAAGGATGTGGTAGCGGCGGCACGGAGAAGGAAGTGGAGGTTCGCTGGGAAAATTTATAGGATACAAGGTGAAGAAAGATGGACAAAAATTCTCACGCGCTGGACACCATCTGTTAGAAGACGCTTTGGTGATGACAGACCAAGAATTAGATGGGAAGACGACATACGAAAAATGGCAAGAACTAGTCATGGATTCTCGTGAGTGGAGGCAAATGAACATGCATATATGGTCACATACTGATTAACGGAAGCCTCAGACAAAATCACCACGGTATTTATCACTAACATGTAGAACCGTTGAGTATGAATAAAAGATAGATAGATAGATAGATAGGGAACAAACGATGGAAAACATATGAGCGTTTTTCCCCGTGCTATATTTTAGAAACTACAATACGTTATGTCTACAATATAATAAACCACATTATTACAAAAATGACGGATGTACTGCGAAAAGCAGAGGGGTGTACCAATACGCTTTGAGAATTGAATGGCAATTAAAGAATGCACACAGGCATATGTTCTAACCGACATTATAGTAGCAGTGAAGATATCAATTCTGAGAATACAAAATAAGATAGAATACACGAAAAAGCAAGCTCGGTTACCTGTGTTCCGAATAGAGAGCTCGCTTCCATTCTATGTCTATTGAACATCTGATTTATTGACTTATTACGCCGATCCGTGAACTCAGCCTGATCCATGGCTTTTAGTGACTCTCTGGGCTCGTCCAAGATCTGGGCACTAAAGCGACTTTATACAGCAACATCAATACACACTGATGATGATTCTGGGACGTTGGTAGGGATTTTAGCGAAACAGCAGTAAATGTCATCACGATTTGAAAAGACCTCAGGAAATTTTCGTTAACAGCTTTCTTTGCACAACTTTTCACATGGCTAGACATTAATAAGCCTTTACAATGATTTTTCTAGATAATGTGCGAGAAGATGCCCCGACCTGTTCGGCATCTGTCGGATGTTCATACTAGCGGGCGATGCTCTCTCTACGCAAAAATATGCAGATTTTTCATGACCACACTCCAGCGCGGACGTAGATTACGTAATACTTGAACCATAATCTCTCTACAAGTCAAGTACGGATGGAAAAAGAACAGTCTACAGTTGCAGTTGGTCCAAGTAATAATGGTAGTATCTCTGCCGATGTCAATCAATCTGCGCAACTAGCTAAGCTGTTATTGCACTGCCCATTGCTTTTCTCCACCGTTATTTTCCATTGTAAAACGGAGGTAGTAATAAAATGGTTCTACCTAAAAGTACTCGCTTAGTAAGAGAGACTGTGGAGTTGAAAGGGTGTGGTTTCTCCTGAAGAAGTTCCGCAAGCACTACTTGAATGCGCTCTTCCCTGCTGTCTTGTATTTTTGAAGTCACGCTCAAAAGTACTGGATAGGCAAGCGAGCGTACCAATTATAGAGCTTTGAAAAATTGTGACGATGGCGCGACCGCGCGCGACACTCACGCCACTTCCGTTTGCATTTTCTTGGTTTTATCTCTAGTCGAATGGTTTTTTGCTTACGTATGATAATATTTAGACACTGGAAGGGCTGAGGTGAACGTTGAGGTGATGCCTTCTTGTATGAGCGTTTTATGCTCCTACGGGCGCAAAGTCCGCAGTAAAATCCGTCGTCAGATTTTTGTAAATGAACTATACCAATCAGATAAAACAGAATTCCAGTATCGACCAAGCGCCATACACACAACATTGCCGGGGAATAGGTAATACCTCGAATATACCCAACCACCTGCCGGGTCCATCAAGGTCTCTACCAATCATTGCTCTCTTGCGCATGAAAACCCCACCGAGGCTCAGCTAGATCGGACTACACAGGACTTACTTGCACATTTCGTTCTCGCGAAGGAATCTGACAGCTGACATGAGCGGAGTCGTCCCTGTTTCGCGTTGTTCTTTCCGTAATAATTCTTCCTCCCAAAACAATCGCAACTTGATTTTTTCCTTGTACATACGATTCGCCATTTTCGCGCTAAAAGAATTTTAAATATAAACATCTCAAAAATCAAACTAGGAATATTCAAACGGAAAAGACAGATTGAAACCGAAACAATTTTCACCATTTTCTTGTCGACATGATATACAAAAGAGCTAAAACCTTGCATTAATGTATCGATGAAAAAGCATAGTCAGATATAGATCAAACTGATCAAGAACAAAATCAGAAACCAAGTTTAGATCAGGATGCTTTTTGTTGGTAGATGAAATTGTGATAAACTGATCTAAAAGTTTTTAGTCAAATTTCAGATATCTATGTGATTCTCCACAACGAAATACCCACTTTGTGGTAAAAGGCACAACGACAACACCCTACAAACTTTTTTCTATCCATCATCACGCGCATCAAATTATGACCATAAAATCGCTTCTCATCCAGCCAAAATGCAGATTAGTCGAAAAAAAAAACCAAAAACGACAAAAGCAAACGAAAAAGATAAGTTATCAATTAGATAAGATATAATGCTGACCGCTCTTCGCTGTGTTCTTTCCAGAGGCCCTTCATTTCTGCGCAAATAAGACCACTTTCATCTTCCTGAAAATGCTTTGTGCATCGAAAAACTTCTCCAGCTGTATACAAACCGATTCAACGTCTCCATTGATTGCCAACTCGTTCTCCATTTCCTCCTTCTTGCAAGAGTTTGCATCTGCAGCGGAGCCTTCCTTTTGCTTATTATCGCCCGATCGACAGAGAGAATAATTTCCCGTTAGTAGCAGCATATCCTTATATTTTTCATTGAAATTATTAGATCGATTATCTTGCTCTCGAAGATCATTGAGCCATCGAGTGGCTAGCTAAAGAAAACTGACATTATGCTTGCGCGACTGATTGTTTCTATAACATACCATTTTCTTCAACCGAAAGATGCCTGTCCGCGGATTTTCGTAAATTATTCTTTGTTCTGGTGTTAAAGAGTCAGGAATGGAAGTGGATGCATGGCATGTGGGAGATGTATCATCCGAACATTCAGCAACAGGAGAAGCATCATCTACAGTAGACTCATCTGCCTTAAAGTTGACTGTGAAGAGAAAACATTTGAGTGATACAATCAAATCACCTCCTCCCCAGTCACCGTCAAAGACGAAGAGACACGCCCTTTCTTTTTCTTAGTCCAGGCATCACTATCATCGAGCACACGACCTGTTTGGCGCACCTAAATTCAAAGATTCATGCATCTAGGAATGATGAAACGCAGAGGATCCCTGTCATATCCCCATCAACTTCAATTTCGGAACAAAGTTGTTCCACAGAGTCCTTCTCCAGATGTATATCAAATAAGATTTTGTAATACTTATTTAAAGCCCGCCTTCTGTTCGCTAGTATGTCCTTAGGCCCAAGGGCGGGTATACTTCACGTGGCTTCAATCGCCTCGCGATTCTCCCGACAAGACAACTTTTACGACTCCAATGCATGGTGATCATCTTGCATTGACTATGATAGTTATTCGCGATTAGTCGGGTCGGAAAACTGTCACAACCGAGATACAGGGAGGATCCGCGGACAACAGACTTGTAACATTTTGTAACATTAAATATTGAGACTTGTAACATTTACCTTGTCAGGAGAATTGCCAAGCGATGAAATTGCGCGATGTACACCCGGCCCTTGAAAGCAGCGTCCGGTCAGGCATAAAAACGCAGGGTACTATGTCACCGTCACCCGCCCTGATAAAAAAACCTGCCCAAGTGGAACTGCACCGACTTGCTTTTGAAGCGAGAAACCGCTCCAGAAGCGGCGACTGGAGAACGCCCCGGCAACCTGCCCGCCCTGAAATCGACAGGCCAGAGCGCGTGTCCCAAACAGCCCAAAATACAGGGTCCCACAACGACTCTGCGTCTTAACCCTTGCAACAGGCATCCAAATTCAAAATCAAGGGCTATTGAAAATGGCCGTTTTTATTCGACCTTTTCATGCAAGTGCATTTTGGAATCAGCAGAAAGGACAAGCTCAGATAAGCGAAAAAAATTTCGTTCGAAACTTCGGTAAGACGCTGCCTTGAGGCTAACCTCACGCAAATCCGTTGCCAAGCGATCTGGCACTGCAACGACTCCTCATAATTTTTGGTAAACGCACTTTGCTATGGCCAGACTCGATAGTTTTGCGAGAACTTACAGACGCTACGCGCCCATGCATTTGGCGCTCGCGCACGGTTCTGGCATCTAACAAGAACGCCTCATTGCGTGTACGTGGCAATTTGACGATCACGAGAAGTGTGCCTTAGGCCTCGGGCGGAGTTCACGCGATTTCATCGTCGCGACTTATCGAGACAAGACTGAGTCACGATTAGTCGAGTCGGAAAACTATCACAACCGAAATGCAAGAAGATCGGCATGCAATGATATTATTACAGTTGTCTTGCCGCGATCAATCGCGACGATGAAATCGCGTGAACTCTGCCCGAGGTTGGGCCTTAAACCGCGTGTCAACTTCATAGCTTTTCTCACACGCATAGGAATGAATATGAGATGCGGGAACCAGAGCAGAGTAGATTACATTGACAAAAAACAAGTACAGACAAGAAGGAGACTCTGATAGAGCTACAAAGAAACGATTTAGGACCAAATATAAGGTGGATGTAGAAAAACGGCCACAAACAAAGCAGCAGAAGCACCATAAGAAATAAAACAGAATTTACGTACCTTGCTGCGGGTCATTCTCTGAGCTTCATCAGCATCATTGTGACGCTTTCCATGACGACCTCGTGGTCCCTTTCTTGCACCTCCAGCATGTCCAGAGGAATGCTGAAGAACTGTTTTTTTTATCAAACTAAAATGCGAGCGTCTAACCTGATGACCAGAATGTTCACCATGCACGTCTTCTTCAGACTGTGTGATAGGCAAAGAAATTCTCAGAGGAGGCACCTAGAACGAGCAAGGACATCCTAAGAATAATAATAATGGAATAAGAAAAGAAACTAGAAAACTCGAACGAAACTCTCTTCAACACTCGTGCATTCGATCAGGGGTGGGTATTTAGTAAAAATGAATGAGCATTTTTCACTTCCCAGAACGCCTATGGGGCTAATCACTGACACCAATTCCCCCCCCCCTCCTCCTCCTCCCCCAAATAGACCTTTCGGCTACATAGCTGATCGAATCACATGATAAAAAAGCCGCGCAGTTTGTTGTTTCCCACTTAGTATTACAAAAGGTACGACCTTACTTCAAAATTATCACTCTCGTACTTAACGTTTATTGGCTGATTGAGTTACGAGCTCTAAACAAATTTGCATTTATGAAGCGCTTTAACTAAATTTACAATGCTGAATGCATATAATCCGGATGTGCTGACTTGCTCTCTAGGAAAAATGAATGCTGTACTCACAACAAACACGACACGAGAATTTCTGTGGAGGCATACATTGACTCACTTTTCTATCACCAGCGCCATGCCTGGAACTCCCTTCGTCTTCCTCCACATCATCCATTTCAATGTCCCCTGTGAAAGCAAAAGCATGTGCACTCTGCAACAAAACTTCAAAACTTACCCGAATGAGCACTTCCTCCATGACTCTCCGGACGACCTTCCGTCAGACGTTGACGTTTCGCACTGGGTGGAGCCGAACACTCTCGTTCGTCGCGGTTTCCGAAATCAGCCTGGACCTGCTGAACTCTATTAATTCAAGTTTCAGAAAGACCTGGAGTGCTTACAGGTGTAAATTCACTTTCTGGACTGCTTTTAAACTCATAAACATCATCAGATGAAGTTACAGGGACGCTGCTACCCACTTCAGATTCGGCAGTGTCCCCGACACGAGACAGTCCATAGCCTCTGCCTCGTTTGCTTCCGCGGCCGCGTCTAAACTACGTTTTTCGCTTTCCTAACATGTGGCCGTTCCCGAAAATAAACAATTTTATACGGATTTTGACAGGTTAAAGTAGTAAATTCTGAGTAAGATCTAAACACAGTTTCGGAAATAAATAGAATCTTTGTTTACACTCCAACAAAAAAGGCTCTGAAGCTTTGCAGAGGAGTAAACCATAAATAAAAAAAGAAAAGAGTAACCAACCCCGCACGCTTCTTTTCCGGATTGGCAAGAGGACTGTTGTTGAGAGGGGTGGCACTGCCACTACAAGGCCGAGTACCACCTCTTCCTCGACCTCGTGCGCCACGCCCACGAGATCGTACGCCACCGCTTTCACTGCGGACTTCATCGCGAGAATCCTCGAGTTCATACGTGAGATCAAATCTAGGTGAAGCTTTGATAGTCATTACACCATGCGAACTGAGCCTTGCATAATATCAAATTTTCCAGCATAAAGCGGTGTTGTTTTTCTCAAGGCCCACCTATGCATTGGACTAGTTGGCGCAGTATCATGATGTTGCTGCTCGTCTGTAGGACTCTCGAATTGTGTTTTCGAAGTACTTGAACGACGAAAAGAATCTGGAGATTCAGAGCGACGAAAATAAATGCCTTCTCTACCCTGCAACTCAAAGATATTATTAGCGTACTTTCCCGCTTTGTTATCGCGACCAAAGCAATCTCTTATTTTTGATTAAAAGAGACAATAACGATATACTTTTCTTAAATTTTTTGAATCCATGAGAGCCCAGGGTCGCAATGACAGATAAGTACCTCTATGTCATCTAGTTGAAAACTAGCCTCTTCGTGGAGAGCATCAACCATCTGAGAATCCTCTTGCACCTCGGCGTGAGTAGAAAACTCGGCGGCTTCAGGGTCAAGTGCTTCTGAGATTGAAAACAGACACGTTCTACAGAGACAATCATGAGCAAAAACAAAACTTCAACGCTCGACAAGTAAATGCACAACAAACCTTCGGTGGACTGCGAGTCCGTTTTGGAACTCACTTTTCCTGGAGTACTGTGATCATCCTCGTTGGTTTTCAACTCATATATGCGACCCTTCACATCGCTAGTAATGGGTGGAGCAGAGCAATCCATCGAGTCCATCCTGCAGAAAAAAAACCCTCTTCTACTCAGACGAAAAACGGTCACTAGATGTGATCCAAAAATGCGGACAATAAGAGATGAAAACGACTTCGTTTATGGAAGAGTTCGTCCAACTCGAAGAATGAAAAAACTGAAAAAAGGATTAGACGTGATAAAAACATGGAGCAACCACACAACACCATACCATACCACAAATACCCATAACCCCTTTGGGCAACCATCGTTTTTGGACATGAACGGCTTCACCCATCCACGACTTTTGCTTTGCACAAATCATCCAAACTTTTAAGGCACTCTATATAATGCAGGAGAAGAATGCAACAAGGACCATCTGAGCAGGTTGTAGCGAATGAAGATCTGCGAAGTCTTTCACATTCTAAGTTTACCCAACCGTTCACTACGTAACTTTAAGAAGAGAAACGCGTAAAACAAAATCCCTAAGAAAAATTGCATCTCTTTACTAAATATAGGGCGAAAATTGGATAGATTAAAGTGAACCTTACCCAGCTAGTATCAACTAATGTAAAATTCGCGAGGAGTCTTGTATGATTACATATGAAAAAATGGTGTCTGTTTTGTCGTTCCATAAGCACAGAGTATGCTTAGCTGCAAGGCATAACGAATTCTTAGGGACTTGTTTATGCAGTATTACTCTAAATTATGATTATTCTTTGTGATCCTGGCCTTTCCATGCACTGAGACTAATCTAAGCACAAGACGTTTCATCCAGAAAAAAGGAAATGAGAATCTTGTGTCATAAATCGTCGTATATCATGATATTTCCGACGACGTCGCAGACAACAGAGTCCAGCATTCGTATAAACTTTGTGCACTTTGTCCTACGACAGACAGTACAGGAAAAGGTTGCAGATAGCTTACTTATATGGCACTGTTTATGAACAACATGCGTCCTATCCAAGCTTTTGAGAAGCAGTACGTGACCTCGGTTGAAGCTTGCGATGCTGATACAGTCAATGTCAATTATGTACTCCCTTTCGCACGGGAACTACGCATGCGCAACGTGAGGTCCCTGCGTGCGGCCCTCCAATCTATGATGTCCCTTTGAATGCCCGAGTCACACGCGCGCAAACGTGGCCCCATTTAAATCTACAGAGTCGGCTGCGCGGGCGGTTGCGTCGCGCGCGCAGCCTTTATCATCAGGTCACGCTTGCCGTGTACGCTGCACTCTGCTGGATGTATCTAGATAGATAGATGCTTACTCACTTCCTTATGCGCTATCTGGACTTGTTGACAACACAAACGGTTTCTACATTGAAATGTGGCAATCAATGGTTTTTTGACATTGAAATGTGGCAGTTAACGGCGTTTGTGAAGTGGAATGTGGCGATCTTTCCTGAGAGATTAAGCATAGTGCTTGATCGGAACGAGTTGTTATGTCATTCATTTGATTTTGAGCTTAGCTCGCCAAATGCGTTTGCATGCCTATAATTACATCCTTTGAAAGTATCGCAAGTTCTTTTTTTCTGTTAAAACTGTCGTAGGAATCCTGCTAGAGTGAACACTTCCATGAATCTCGATTATCCTTATCACCTCCAGTTCTTCCACTCGTGCAGGACTATTGGTTTTGGTGAGGTCTTTTTCGAAGATGAAAATGTTTTTCGCATATGCTTGTGGGATGACATCAGTATCTCACAAAGCAAAAAAGATGTTGCGTCATTCGTATCTTGTTGTGACTATGCAAAAGGAGCAACCTAAGGCACCTGAAGTCCTGGCGTTCTCCGCAGTTTTGTTTGTCATATAAAGTCCCTCGGTATGCTGCGTTCATCTCTACCATACATAGGGCAAGCACAGAATAATCAGGTCTGGATGCATTAAGACGACTCTTCGAAACTGCTGGATAGTGGATGACAGAAACATATACATAACATATGTTGGAAGACTCAGGAGACCAAGCGTATTGAGAATTAAGAACTTGTAAGTAATTGACATGCATCTCTCTCCAGAACATCTTAGCAGATACACCACATTATAGGCGAAGTTCACGAAGAGGTGCGCAAGAGCGAGAGCCCGCGTGCTTATCGTAAAAAAGTCATCTGTTGATATAGTACCCATCTTTAGCACAAAAGTTTTAGCATGCCAAGCTATCGATCTTACTTTTTTATACAAACTGTTCGATTTTCCAAACTACCTTTTCCAAGTCGTAGGCGCAAAGTAACCTTTGTTAAGTCAATTTGCCATTAGAAAAGTCAGAAGTAAGGATCAGGGTCGTTAGATCTGAGCGCGGCAACAATGAATGCTCATCAACTTCTCCGTCAGAATTTGGTTGAGATTGACTGTTTGAGATGAACACACAATCCGAACGCATTGGGACCTGTCATACTATTCCTGTGATTCCTGCGGGTCCCCAGCAATGTATGTTGCGAAAAAACAATGTATATTTAGAATCCGTAAAGAGCTCCGTAGTGCGATACATCGGAAGTCGTGAAATCACAGGCACTACAGGAATTGGAATCGCAGGAATCAACTCCTGGAATAATATGGCGGGTCCCATTGCCCAAACGGCGGGAGCTGTCAAGGTTATAGCTCTAAACTGAATTGAGATTAACATCATCTCAAAAACCCGAGAAGCGCCTATGAGAACTCCATCCAAGCTTGTGTGCCCAAGCTGTCCATAGGTAGCAAACTTACTTCTCCAAAACAGGCTTTTAAATATCTGTCTGGAGTCTCCGCATCAATTGGTGGCTCGACGTAAGAGAAGAGCCCACACAGTGTAAACTGCAGTATCTTCGATCTGCCACCAATCGAATAGTGACAGCACATATCGAAATGTCGAAGTTTAGCATTGCATGACGGCAGACCCGAGCGTGACCTGCTGCTAAAGGCTGCGCGCGCGACGCGACCGCCCGCGCAGCCGACTCTGTAGATTTAAATGGGGCCCGCAAACGTGGCGCGAAGCTTGTTGAGTTTACGAAAAAGGGAGCACGTGATTGACACTGACTATACACTAACTAGTCTTAGAATGCAGTCCATTCTAGAGAAGTTTTATGACAGACGATAAATCGCGCAGAAGGATTGGTCGAATTCATGGTAAACTTAGTACTCGTATCTCCGGGAGTTAGATACCATTGGTTTGACGCGATTCATATTCCTTCCATACCGCACTACATACTCCTTAATGCATGACAGGATGCAACAGCGAACCACTTCCAATTCTGATGCATGGGTTTACACACAATGCACATTGCCCGTAAATTTCAGCACCATAATTTCACGCACACGCGCATCCTGTGTGTAATAGCAAGAGGTTGATGTATTAATCATTCTGCGACTAAATAGGAGACTCGAGACCGCATTGCATACATTGTCCAAACAAGCCTAATCGTGTATTTAGCGTGTTTATACTTGTTCTAAATCTCCTCTAGGATTACTCTTTGAGAACAGGAAGAACAAATTCAGACATGTTAAGACAATGTCCGCAATGCGGTCTCGCGTTTCCTAATCGTAGAATAGATGATATATTCTACACTTTTAGCCAGGAGCAACGCTCGCAGCAAAGCTTTCGCACACCCACCTCAATTCTAGAATGAGAATGAATTAGGTATAGTTCGCAACCCAATTTGCACGCGTCATAGTTGAAACACTTGATCCATTTCGCTATTGGTCAACAGGCTGACCAATAGCGCGTCCACTGTCGCACTTGTCCACTTGAGCCACTTGATCCACTTCGGTATAGGTCAGACTACTGATTTGACCAATAGCGAAGTGGATCAAGCGTACCAAGTGATTCAAGTATGACTCGTACCTTAGGGACCCGTCATCATAATTCGCCGAAAAAAAGCCCGTGCGCCAGAAAGAGCCGGAACGCCCCCCTTCCCACCCAAATTTTGGCGCTAGGGCAAGTGTGCTGTCTTCGCAAGCCGGTCCTTTCACCTGATTATTCTTCGTGTGTGGAAGACTCAATATCTAACGAAAAGGAGTTCGAGAAGCAGGCTTAAAAATCCAGCATAACAGGAATACCATGCTCATGAACCCTTGGCATCAATTCCTAGAAAAAGAAAAATTCAAACGACAAAGAGTTAGACAGGACGGATCAGACAATCACTGACAATACAACGACACACTAGTTGGGTTGCATAAAAAGTTGGAATACCATGCAGTTTCCTAGAGATACAGTTGCCAAGCTACAATGAACTCTCTTTCATCCGGCTCGGTACTTTTGGTATGGAGTGCAGACGACAAAAAATGAAGAAGACTTGCGAAATCAACACAATGCCTTGGCGCCAAAACTTGGGCGAGGAGGGGCTCGTCCCGGCTCTTTCTGGCGCTTTTGGGCTCATTTTGATGAAGTATAACGGGTCGCTTAGGCGGAGATTGGATTGGCGCACGACGCATCGCAACGCTTCGCGCCGTTTCCAGCTATGGTAGGTGCCAGAGTATGCGAATATTTTGTTCAGCTTCGTTCAGCTGCAAAAGGCGCACAGAATTATGGTCTGCTGCCTTATCTCTACTGCTGCCAAGGTCTGCTTCAGCTGCAGCGCAGAACCAACATTAATTCTGTGCGCCTTTTGCAGCTGAACGAAGCTGAACAAAATATTCGCTTACTTTGGCACCTGCCTATAGTGGGGAACGGTCAGGAGTCACGGTCGGCGCGAATTTTTCGCGAAGCGATGCCGCGAGCGATGTCAGCAAAACAGAAGCTAGCACTCCTGACGCGTCTTACTTATGACACGAGCCGTGTATCTGCCCCCACCCCCCACCCCCCCCCCCTAGACTGGCGCCGTGCCACTTTAGCGCTGGGCGGTTCTGTGGGGTACAAAATTTAGACGCGACGTTCGCGGCGAAGCGGCGTGACTCCTAAGGTAGGTGCCAGAGTAAGCGAATATTTGTTCAAGTTGGGGTCCCGCGCAGAACTGGCGTTACTAATCATTGTGGCACAACGCCAAGTTGGCATTATGCCACAATGATTAGTGATGCCAGTTCTGCGCGGGACCCCAACTTGAACAAAATATTCGCTTACTCTGGCACCTACCTGACATGGAGCCCCTATGGCACGCGCCATACTTGATCCGCTTAGTCCACTTGATCCGCTTCATCCATTCCACTATTGGTCAGTTCACTGAATTGACCAATGATGAAGCGGATCAAGTGGATCAAGCGGATCAAATGGATTAAGTATGGCGCCTGCCTATAGTAAACCATATCCTCCCATGCTTAATTTTCCTTGGCAAAATGCCAGCACCGTGCGCTCCAGCAATGCGGACCGCTGCTCCACGTGCAATGTCTCAACCTCGAGTTGAAACTGGCACCACCTTCCGGACAACTGCTCCTTTTGCACATGCTGCTGCATGTCGTGTAGATACCGATAGGCCTCCGGCAGAGTTCATGCGATTTCATCGCTGCGATTCACCCAAGAAAACAAATAGTTACAAGTCCATTGCATGTCGATCATCTTGCATTTCACTTGAGATAGTCGCTATTGGTCGTGTTGGAGAACTATCACAACCGAATGCAAGATGTTCAACATGCAATAGACTGCAACTGTTTGTCTTGCTGGAAGAATCGCGACGATGAAATCGCGTGAACTCTGCCCGAGACGTAGGCCGCGAAAGCGGAGCCCAAAGGCGTATGTGATCTTTTACCCAGTCGATTTGACCGCAAACCAATCACCAGCTGACTTGCGCTAGGCAGGTGTGCCTATGCAACGAGGGACTTGACACAGATATACTGCACTTACTGGAGTAGAGTATTTGAGATGATTTCTCTATTCAAGGTTTCCAAGGGCTACGTGCATCAAAAATCAACGTAATGAGCAATAAGTTTCCAGTATTTGACTGTAATGACAGCAGATCAGTGAATAAGAATTAGAGTGAAAATATATTTATGGGCAATGGGTACATGTTAAGCCTACGGCAGCATGACTGTATTACTCCTAGTTTGCACATGTTGAGACAACCGAGTTATTACTAGTGAACGAACGATGAACGTGCACAACGTATTCTACAGACGCGAACAAGGGAGAGAAAAGCATGGTATACAGCATTATTAAAGTCACATGCAAATAAACAAGCTGAAACTGCCAATCGATAAAACTTTCGAAGACAATCAAACTATACATGTTCTAAGAGCACCGTCCTGACAATGGAGCACATAGAAAACAAATAAAGTAGGATACATTTCAAGCAGAGAATCAAACTTCTCAGATCAATCCTTATAAGAACGATAAAATAACCAACAATCTAGTACACTGAATGCATAAATCCAGAGCATTTATTAGTGCTCTTATCGTCCAGCATCTACATCGGTATTCATTATGCGGTGTATATGGCGGTCAAATTGTCATGTTCATCATCTTCAAACCCAGTAAAAGTTGAAAGGAAAACTACTTTGCAATCTTTGAGGACGGTAATAAACGTTATTCAGCACTTTGAGGGCATTGAGTACATCAACAAGAGGGACATCCATTCATACTTGGCAAGATATCCAGAGCACATCATATACATGTAAGTTTTGGCAAAAGATCGATGTTAAAGCAGAAGTGAGTGGAGTCGTCTACAGAGCGCCGTCCCCGTTTTCTAGGAATTCATACAACATGTAAACTCATCATAAAAGAAGGTGTCGAATTTAAGCATCAAGATCATGAGAAAACTAAGCGCCTCCACTTAGAATCTCTGTACTTTGGTCTGAAGTGGACTCTACAGAGTCACTTATGAGTCTTGATTTCCAATTGCTTGCCACCTGACGTTCAAAGAGAACTTGGGTAAAGCACTCAGTCATGTACTCAGCCTAAATCAACATATATGGCCATTTGCAACATCACAGACCCGATGTTCAGCTATATAAGATGCTCACAATTGACAAAAACTGCTGCGTGCGATAACAAACTTACGTAAGCAGTAAGAAGTCTGATAGGTTTTGCTCGTTTTTCTCCCCTCTTGAAAACGAACTGAAAAGACCTGCCGCCATCTTCCACTTGATACTCAATGATATCATCCCAGCTAATTTCCACTTGAGTCTATAATAAGTTACAGATTCGATGAAATCATGATTGCGTGCCATTACGAGAGAATGTGCTATCATTTCCGTAGTTCTCAGTAAGAACTACTGTCGTGACTTCATTGAAAAAAAGGTTACCTCATCATTAGGAGGGTCAGATGTGAGGATAAGGGAAGAGAATCGCACAACGACAACAACATCTCCAGCTTTTCTTGTAGGACAAGTACAAGGTGGAAACGCTATCTCATTATATCCTGACATCTTACGACACATTTCCAAAAACTAAAGAAGAAATTAAGAGAGATAGACAGAGATATGATAAGACCCTGATGTGAATGAAGAAAATCAACGAACTTCTTCGGCATTTCCTTCGTTTTGCATCGCCTTCAATTGATATAGCTTCTGACAACATTTCAACCTCCCCTAAACAATTCAGACTCTCTGATTTACACTAGCGTTCCTCCCAAACATTCGCGGAATGAAGCACCAGATTCAATATCACAGTAAAACGTGTATGTATTCACCTCATTCACGTCAGCGACTGCTTGTTGAAAAACGAACTGCCGAAAAAGTGGATCTTTCTGACAAAGCTGCTGTTCACGACGAGGATCAAAGATCCATTTTCTTAATACTAAGCAAGAAGAAGATGCGCAGGAGTAGTTTTGAATATACAGTTGGTGAGGAGATTCGTTGTCCATGAGTTTCCTCTCTGGAACATTTGTACGTACGTATGATGCATTGGAATCGGTGAGATGCTAAGAAAAGCTGTGATATCAAAAGACATAATCTGCAAGTTAGCCTCCCATCATGCTCGTCAAACCACTCAAATATGATAAAGACTTCTGATCTAACAGCTTTCAAAAAAGCCTTCACTTATTGATTACGAAGGCGGTTCTGTCTTTCCTAGTGTTAAGCACTACCATTCATAATGCTAATTTAGTGGAAAGTACGCAGGCGTACTACTACAAAGTTTATAACATCATTTCAAAAAGAAAAATGCAGTATCACTGAAAAAACTACCCACCGAAAGACTGCTCCATTGTTTCAAACACGGCGCATGATAGAGCCATATCTCGCGACATATTTAATTTTCGAGCCAAAAGCGCAAAAAGCAAAGAAGTGGACGAATTTCTTCGAATGTTTACACATACGTGTCCACCATCAGGAAGAAGCACGCGAACTTCAACTTCGCACGAGGGATCACATTCCATCAGGAAGTCCTAGCAAATAAATGATTTCTGATTGATTGCAACTTCTTCAAACTTTAAAACCAGAATTCATGGAGCATACCTGCATTATGTCTGAATCAGCTATGACTTTTACAGAGCACACTCGCTCCAGATACATTTCAAGCCCTCTAAATTAAGTTGAAAAGGGATGAAAGAGAAATTTTGAAGACATGAAAACATACCGTCGCCTAGAATCAAGTTGTTGTTCCGACAAGGAAAACGGCCATTTTCCAGGTAGCTTAGGAAAAGAGTAGTCTATGAATTCACGGCGCAGGAGCTGATGTAATTCTACGAACTCGCTATACCGTCTAGATCCAAGATGGCGACCGGCCATATACAGATTGAATACCTAAACTGCGTAACTACGAAATGAATCGCAATCGAAAAAACATACCACAAATTTTTCCACGCCATCGTTGACTGTATGGTAACTGGGAATGGTTACTGGCAAAGATCTACTTTCAGAATAATCATGCCGGTAAGATATAACACTTTCTTCACAGCACTCAAATCTGCAATAGTAAATGTGTAATCCAAACAACTATCAGGTGAGCAAATTAGGGTGAAATAAAATATATTTTTATATCGCCATACCTGGCGCATATTTCGTCGCTATAAAACACTTATGAGCCCGCAGTTATGTGCGCGCCTATGGTAGTAAAAGAAAGGGGGGGGGGGAAGCCCTACTTAATTGCATTGGAATATTGATGCTAGATCAGCCCCATCACTTGTTCTATTTTAGGTGCGTTGCCCACGTTCATTTCCAATTGTGGAAGTATATAACAATGCTACGACAAGCAAAGGATACAGAAGTGAAAGAAAATATGAAAAGGGTTCCTAAGAAATTTCGCCATAGATAAAAAATGCACTTGGAGAGTACTGCCTAGGGGCTCAAGTACGCGAAGCTGTATAAAACCTGAGTGGCCGCTCGTAACTCGAATGACAACATGCGCGAGCGGTTGCGATGAATGGTATGGCACTCACCCTCGCTTAAATATTTTGTTAACCTTGCGCTGATTTCATCACTGCTGAGCATGTTTTCACTGAAAGTGACTCCAAAAGCTGTCAGAAATACATATGCAGGAAAAGTTCCGCGCAACAAGTTTATAGCGCTTGGAATCCAACATTCTATGCTCGCGTGAGTTGGTGTTCAAGCCAAGTCGTGAACGGTGGATTTCACATAAGTTGTACCTCGCTCTGACAGCAGAAGTGCGCAGATAAGAATGTGGAAAACATTTCAAAACATACTTATCAACTTCGGAATCTTCAACAGAAATGACTATCATCGTTAAGCGATCGCCACCATGTTTTATTAGATCTACTACATGACGATGGGTTGCTCCTTCTACATTGACACCATTCCTAGAAAAAGAGACCTTATGTCGCTACATAAAACATATTAAATATGAATCGTATACATACACTTGCAAAATCCTATCTCCTCTACGTAAGTTTGCACGTTCAGCAGCACCATCAGGTAACACTGCGCTGACATGTTGCAGAGGAGCGTACAGTTGTCCATTCAAACTTCGCAACTGTCCTCCCTCGCTGACTTGACCTTTTACGTTAAAGCCGAAACCTAAATAAGTGAATGCTCAATAATTACCTTTCCGCCATATCCGCAAAAACAAACGCGAAGGCCCTATCAGCGCTGCAGCAGAGGGAGCACCTCGGGACCCATAACCAGGATCAAGCAAGGGGTGTGGCACACGATCGCTGGTTACGACCCCCCTCCCCTCTGATTGCCGTCTCAAGGCAGCGTCCAGGCAAATCTGGACCTATGGGAATTTTACATGGAAAGTACTTTTGGGGTCCTAACTAAGGCCCTGCCCAAGCGGCAGCGCAGGTAGTGCTTTAACGGCTGAGATATTCCCCTCGAAACTGGACCCCATCGTAGTCGCATGGATCATGGCATCGCGCCAGGATCCACGCTTTGCGCCATGAATCCATGCGAAATACGATCGCGGGGTCCAGTTTCGAGGGGACTATATCAGCCATTAGAGCACTACCTGAGCTGCCGGTTGGGCAGTGGCTTAGTTAGGGCACCAAAATTACTATCCACGTGAGAACCCCATGTGTCCAGACTTGCCTGGACGCTGCCTTCAAATAGACCCCACCCCTGAATTACAAACCTAAGATAGCATTACCTGAAGCCCTGTCAAACATAATGGTTAACATATCCATAATGAGCATGTCAATTAACCCCTGTAGACAAAGTCTGAACGAATTCTGAAGATTCAAGATACTAAGCTACCTAAGTGAAATGGTCAATTTCCAACATGATTAATTTGTTTCAAAGATGAATTAGCTATCCGTTTTTGCACCCAAGACAAAGCACTACTCCTTCTTTGTCCATCTCGAAGATCCCGCTTCAAAAGACCTTCAAACTGTGGAATTAGAAGCCAACCAAAATCTCATTCTTCCCATTTTCCGCTTTTAATGGCTGTGCTTTCACCAACTATTACTCAGAGCAAAGAAAACGAATCAGGCTCAAATTACTCTTGTGAAAACTAGGAAATCTAGGCTATCGATCCATATAAATACGGTTTGCTAAAAATGTTCTTATGACATAGTTAATGGGGTTTGGCACGCCCCCTTAAAAGCTGTGGCTGCCACAGCTTTTGAGGGGATGGGCCACACCCCATTAACTATATGAAAAAAAATTTTTTAGCAAACAGTATTTATATTAATCGATAGCCTAAACCTCGTAGATTCCATAGGAATGTTTTAAGCCTGATTCGTTTTCTTAGCTTTGAGTAATATTTGGTGAAAGCACAGTCATTAAAAGTGAAAAATGGGAAGAATGAGATTTTGGTTGGCTTCTAATTCCACAGTTTGGAGGTCTTTCGAAGCGGGATCTTCGAGATGGACAAAGAAGGAGTAGTGCTTTGTCTTGGGTGCAAAAACGGATAGCTAATTCATCTTTGAAACAAATTAATCATGTTGGAAATTGACCATTTCACTTAGGTAGCCTAGTATCGTGAATCTTCAAAATGCGCTCAAACTTTGTCTATAGGGATTAAATGACATGCTAATTATGGATATGATACAAATATCATGTTGTCACTATTATCAGATTACCCAGCTCCGACCCCCTCCCCCTTTGACTCCTCAATACGACCCCCCAGGTGTGGCGTGCCACACCCTACGCTTGGCCCTGCCCATCACGTTACTTGCCGCAAGCTTCTCAAGCGACCGGTGAGAGTGCAGTCATAACCGTTCGTACTAAGTAAGGATTGGCTCGAGGGTGAAAAACTGGGGCGCTCGTCGAGTATGCGGGAGGATCAACATGAAATGATAGCAAACGTTTGGAAGCAATCGCGTGCCGCGAGCGTTAACGTCGCACAGAACAGTCTCAAATGGAACCGATGTTGTAGCCGCACCCTGACAACGACAGCAGGCAAATGATGGTGCGAGCATAAGGAAAGTCGATCATCGGCAAGTTGCACTAATACATACACATGAGGAAAGAAAATCCTAGGATGATCTTTTGTTTCTAGCAAATTTCCGCTGAGCTTTGTAGTGGGATCAGCACTGCTATCCATGCGCCGGTAGCGGTTACAAGATTTACGTCCGGAAGGGGGGGGGGGGGAGGAGAGGAGGCGATTAAGAATTTTCCAGTAAAGGCGTGACCCATTCTCCCTTCCCCAGCCTCCCTTGGGGCCGCATGCATTGACAACCCCGCTGGGAGGGGATCGCAGCTAACAAAGAAAGCTTCATATCCTGAAGCTCTGAACTTCTGGAATTCACGCTGTCTACCTGTTTGTAAGCATTCCCACCATCCTTCACTAGAAACATATTGAACGGCGCGAGAAGCTGCAAGCCGCATTTTTTAGCATTTTGTATGATCCCTAGATGATTCATGGCGGCCGTCTTTTCTTAAAAGTAATTTTCCTTTCTCCAAAATCAACGAAAGCCTTCCAAAGTTGTACTGTTCATCTAGCCCAATCACTACGTATAAAAGCATGAATTCGTGCACTTTCCCTAAACGATAGCAGATGGGAATCATGGAGGTTCAGACGGTTCGACGGAAACGTTAGACACGCCCCCTTGTGGGTTATTTGCCATGGTGTCTGAGTCGGAGGCGGTGGTCTTGTGTTAGGTAGGGATCGGCCATACTACTCCTGCTATTCCTACGACTCCTGCGATTCCTGCGATTCCTGTGAGTCCCGCACAGTTTAGACGCCGCTTAAATGAGCGCGTGTTGCGTAAAACAACACGTAACACGCAACACGCGCTCATTTAAGCGGCGTATAAACTGTGCGGGACTCACAGGAATCGCAGGAATCGCAGGAGTCGTAGGAATAGCAGGAATAGTATGGCCGATCCCGTAGTGTAGAGGAAAATTGCTTTCAGATGTTGTTGATATATATATATATATATACATATATATATATATGATGTATTGAATCGTTGAAAAGATTAGTTGTTTTCTACACTTTTTTGTGTTGTGATTTTGTTATAAACTAGCAACTTTTTATCCAGAAATGTGGTTGATGTTCTTATGCGACATGCATTTTCAGAAACGTTTCATACATTTGGTAGGTGTTCATTGTTGCTTATAGATAGATAGATTTGTTTTGTGTTTGTAGAACTTATGATCCTTGTTGATTATGTGGTTGTAAAACCTTCGGTCTTTCTGCTTTGAATGATATATTTTAACTTACGTTATGGTTTCAGATAACCTGATATTCGTTTGGATTTTGGTGTTCGAGACTGATATGACGTTTTTTCGGCTTGAATCAGGTGACTATATATCGTTAGGTTGTTTTTGTTCAAATCAGGTGACATGTGTTGTCAACTTCGGTTTTCAGACTGTTATGAGCATTGTTTTCGTTTAAATCAGCTGACTTCAATCGTTAACATAGCAATAACATGAAAATGTGAGTGATGTGTTCTCCATGTTGGATTGATTTTGGAGGTTGTCGTCATTTTAGTTTTGACTCTTTTTGATGGTAGCATTCATTGATGAAAATGCGTCTTCATCTAAGGAATCTTTATTTGATTTTGCTTTTTGTCAGTGATTGTTGTTTTACATCTGCTCGAGTCATTTGTAACTTAATATGCGTATTGCACATCATACGCCCTATTCGACGAACTTATAAGATTGGAACTTGCTCATTTCAGCGATTTCACCTTGTTCCTTTGCCTCTTTTAGTTTAATAGGATATTGGTTGATTAGTAGTATACAATTTTACAGTTTGTTACGTTAGAGAAGATTTGATCGAGAAGTTAATGTTAGGGGTACCGTATGTTGAAACGCTTTGTGTGCAGGCTCACATATTAAGTTACGAATGACTCGACGATAGTTAGCTTGTGTAAAAGTTCGGAAACGTTATGATGTATTGAATCGTTGAAAAGGTTAGTTGTTTTCTACACTTTTTTGTGTTGTGATTTTGTGATAGATATTTTTTTTGTAAATTTTGTTTTAGTTTTACTTCGTTGAATGGAAGTTGCTAACAACGGTTTACTCAGAGATGTGGTAGTGAATCGTTGAAAAAGTTAGTTGTTTTCTACACTTTGTTTGTGTTGTGATTATGCTATAAATATTCTTTTGTAATTTTTGTTTCAGTTTTGCTTCTTCGTTGAATGGAAGTTTTGCTAACAATTTTTTACCCATAAATGTGGTTGGTTCTGAGGCGACTGCACTTTCAGAAACGTTTCATACATTTGGTAGGTGTTATATTGTTGCTTATTATAGATAGATAGATTTGTTTTGTGTTTGTAGCTTGTGATTCTTGTTGATTATGTGATTGTAGATCATTTTCAGTCTTTCTGCTTTGAATGATATATATATTTTGAATGTTTTAACTTACGTTATGGTTTCAGATAACTTGATGTTCGTTCGGATTTTGGTCTCGAGACTAATATGATGTTTTTCGGCTTAAGTCAGGAGACCATATATCGTTAGCTTGTTTTTGTTCAAATCAGGTGACATGTGTATTGTCAACTTCGTTTTTCAGACTGTTATGAGCATTCCAGGTTTTTTGCATAACAGTTTGGGGGGATGTATGATCTTTTACTGGTATGTTTTTGTTCAAATCAGGTGACATGTGTATTGTCAACTTCGTTTTTCAGACTGTTATGAGCATTCCAGGTTTTTTGCATAACAGTTTGGGGGGGGGGATGTATGATCTTTTACTGGTATGTATTGTTTTCGTCTATATCGGCTGACTGCAATTGTTAACATAGCAGTAGCATGAAAATATTGTAAATGATGTGTTCCTCATGCGCAGCTGCTGTCATTTTTGATTCTTAACATGAAAATCCAGACTGTTATGGCGTTGTTTTCGTTCAATCACTACGTATAAAAGCATGAATTCGTGCACTTTCCCTAAACGATTGCAGATGGTAGACGAGGAGAAGCCAGACGAGAGGCGGACACGCCCCCTGTGTATTTCCATATGAGACATGTTTTCATTTGTACCGAACCGTCTCGAATTTTTTTCGCGCATAGCTGTCGCCTAAGGACAAATTCCAGACTATAAACAGACCATCACGAGTGGCACAACAGTCTCAAGACGATGTTTTCGCATAAGTCACATGACTGCATCTATGCGATCCTTGAGCAACATCCATAAAATAACGAGGCAAATGTTCCCCCCGGTCGAGGTTCAGTTACTATGTCGCCATTATCATGAAAAGTCGCCTCGTGCAAGGTTGTTGCCGCATCGTCTTACGTAGGTTTTATCTACATAAATCTTTTGCTTGCAGGTGGTAAATATTTTCAACATTTCCAGTTTATGTTTCTGCCTTTGTGCGTTTACGTTTATTTATCGTTTTTTTGTTTCGTTTTTCTCTGCTTACACAAAAATTAAATCGCACAGATTGAGTGGGTTTCGTGGTAGAGCCAAAACCTGATGCTTTTCGAAGCATGTTTAAGAAATACTGCAAATGATGGAAATTTTGCTTTTCCAAGTTTTTGAGAAATCTAACTTTTGTCGTATTCCGAAAAGCGTGGAATTGCGTTCTCTTGTCGGAGGCGACGCCTCAGAAGAAAAAGCACTAACAAGGGAAGTTCGCCGAATCGAAGTGGCCGATTGGTATGTGGTATATACCCGGACGCGGGGCTCGGGAGGTTAGTATCAAATGTGCGTCCCTTAGCTGCGACGCGTTATTGTGAAGCAAGTTATGGCCCTCTGAAGTATTTGGCGTGTGCATGTCTAGCGAACGCACAAATGCTACGATTGTGGTCGTGTGGTGTAGTGGTTAGTGTCTCGGACTCACAGGTGACCGATGAGGGTTCGAGTCCTGTTGCTGTCCACATGTTTTGCGTTCTTCTCAAAATTCATTTTTCGCCTGTTTTATGTATTATATTGAGGTAAAAAACGACACACACGGATTACGGTATGATTTTTCTCACGAAAATTCGACCAAAGTTTCATATGTAGAATTTTCGTGCAAACTACATACTCGCATACTCGTGGCATGCCGCAGAGCATGTGGACGAGCACCCTGAATCCTTCGAAACGCCGCTACAGTTTTGTTTTCCTTATAATTTGAATTCAAATGCTTGCTGTGAGGTAGAAGAATGCAATGATATTATATTTATTCGTTGTGCACATTGCGAGAAATACCTGTGCTCTAACCATTTCGTCATGGCTTATCACATATGCTTCCTCCACATGCCATAGTTGGTTATTTGAAAGCACTCTAATATTATATAGACTTTGGATAAAGTTTAATTGGTTAAAGAAAGTAGTTTGCACGAAAATTCTACATATGAAACTTTGGTCGAATTTTCGTGAGAAAAATTATACCGTAATCCGTGTGTGTCGTTTTTTACCTCAATAATACATAAAACAGGCGAAAAATGAATTTTGAGAAGAACGCAAAACATGTGGACAGCAACAGGACTCGAACCCTCATCGGTCACCTGTGAGTCCGAGACTAACCACTACACCACACGACCACAATCGTAGCATTTGTGCGTTCGCTAGACATGCACACGCCAAATACTTCAGAGGGCCATAACTTGCTTCACAATAACGCGTCGCAGCTAAGGGACGCACATTTGATACTAACCTCCCGAGCCCCGCGTCCGGGTATATACCACATACCAATCGGCCACTTCGATTCGGCGAACTTCCCTTGTAAGACAACTACGCACCGCAGATAATGTCGAAATTTTGATCAAAAATGTTATCTGATGGACTTGTAGAAAGGTTAATTTGTGTAATTGGGTGTCGCTGGTGGGAACGAGGTTTTATCTCAGACTAATCCTGCTTTCGTTTCCAGAATTGAAAGTGCTCGAGTAATTGGTAATTGGGTATTGCTGGTGGACGAGTATATATTTGTGAAAATATACCCTGTTGTATAGAAAGGAACGCGTAAGTAACTGGATTTCGCTGGTGGAGACGAGCGTTACTTAAAGAAACGCTTGAGTCTAGGTCTCGTTGGTGAAGGTTTTTTTTGCTTTGCTTGAAACTCAACGCTTCGGGTCTTTGGGTCTCGCTAGTGGAGGGAAGCGTTTACTCGGCGAAATTCTATGCTTTGGGTGACTGGGTCTCGCTGGTGGAGATGAGCTTCTACTTAAAGAAATTCAACGCTTGAATGACTGTGTCTCGTTGGTGGAGGAAAGCGGCGCTTCGGGTAACGATCTCACTCGTGGAGATGAGCTTCCACTTGGCGAAATCCAACGCTTGAATGACTGGGTCTCGTCGGTGGAGGAAAGCGGGGCGTCGGGTAAGGAACCAAAGCCAGTAAGTGCTCTCGATGGTGGAGAAGCGTTTACTCGCCGATTCAATGCTTTGGGTGATTGGGTCTCGCTGGTGGAGATGAGCTTCCATCTGGGAAAATTCAACGCTTGAATGACTGTGTCTCGTTGGTGGAGGAAAGCGGCGCTTCGGGTAACGATCTCACTCGTGGAGATGAGCTTCCACTTGGCGAAATCCAACGCTTGAATGACTGGGTCTCGTCGGTGGAGGAAAGCGGGCCGTCGGGTAAGGAACCAACGCCAGTAAGTGCTCTCGATGGTGGAGAAGCGTTTACTCGCCGATTCAATGCTTTGGGTGATTGGGTCTCGCTGGTGGAGATGAGCTTCCATCTGGGAAAATTCAACGCTTGAATGACTGTGTCTCGTTGGTGGAGGAAAGCGGCGCTTCGGGTAACGATCTCACTCGTGGAGATAAGCTTCCACTTGGAGAAATCCAACGCTTCAGTAAGTGCTCTCGATGGTGGAGGAAAGCGTTTATTTGGGGATTCAACGCTTCGGGTCTTTGAGTCTCGCTGGTGGAGGGAAGCGTTTACTCGGCGAAATTCTATGCTTTGGGTGACTGGGTCTCGTTGGTGGAGATGAGCTTCCATCTGGGAAAATTCAACGCTTGAATGACTGTGTCTCGTTGGTGGAGGAAAGCGGCGCTTCGGGTAACGATCTCACTCGTGGAGATGAGCTTTCCACTTGGAGAAATCCAACGCTTCAGTAAGTGCTCTCGATGGTGGAGGAAAGCGTTTATTTGGGGATTGAACGCTTCGGGTCTTTGAGTCTCGCTGGTGGAGGGAAGCATTTACTCGGCGAAATTCTATGCTTTGGGTGACTGGATCTCGTTGGTGGAGATGAGCTTCCATCTGGGAAAATCCAACGCTTGAATGACTGGTCGTTGGTGGAGGAACGCGGCGCTTCGGGTAACGATCTCTCTCCTGGAGATGAGCTTCCACTTGGGGAAATCCAACGCTTCAGTATGTGCTCTCGATAGTGGAGAAAAGCGTTTACTTGGGGATTCAATGCTTCGGGTCTTTGGGTCTCGCTGGTGGAGATGAGCCTCCATCTAGGAAAATCCAACGCTTGAATGGCTGGGTCGCGCTGGTGGAGGAAAGCGGCGCTTTGGGTAGCTGGGTCTCGCTGGTGGAGATGAGCTTCCACTTGGGGAAATCCAACGCTTGGATGACTGGGTCTCGCTGGTGGAGGAAAGGGTTCACTTGTGGAAATTCAACGTTTTGGGTAACTGGGTTTCGCCGTTGGAGATGGGTTTCCACATAGGAAAATCCAGCGCTTGAACTACTGGGTCTCGTTGTGGAGGACTTTTACTCAGGTTATGCTCTTCCGTGTGGAAGAGAAAGCTTTTAGATAACTGGGTTCCGCTGGTGAAGATGTGTTTCTGTTTGAGGAAATTCCACTAGCGCTAACTGGGTCTCCTGTTGAAAATGCTTCTATTAGGGTGATCACTAAAAAATGGGGCACCTAGAGAATAAATGTAGATTTCTCAAAAAAGAAAAGTGATTAAACTTTCCAATTTTGCTAGATATTAGAATAAATTGTTCTCTTTCAGAAAATACCTATATAAGGTCATTTACGTACGTAATAATTTTTAGAGTGGCTGAAATGCAAAGTTAGTCACTTTGACAAATTATAAACTTTGGGCAGTATCTGCGCAGTGAAACATGTGAGACCACCCAAAGTACCACTGCTGGAGTGGGTGATGGGACAGTCACTAAACCCACGACAGCTTGATGGCCTCAACTTTCAAAGTCAGGAGATATAGCCAATAGTAGCTTCGAGAACAAAGACACGGGTTATTCAATTCTTTGCAGGTGAACGCATGTTTTCTAGGTACCATTTGATAGAGCTTTTTACGCTCTATCCATTCTTATGCAGCTTACCTCACATTTCATCTATCTTCGGAAAATACAGATTGAAAGTTGATTTATTGGTTTTTGTTGCGCCAAAAAATCGCGATTTTTAGGTGTTCTCTTTTTTTACCCAGGAATAGAAAATTATCCTGTATGTTTAATATATTGTTTGAAAGAGCATGAAGAGCTCTTTCGAATAGTATATCAATTGCTCTATAACTTTGCTATGGCAGCGCAAGAATGAGGAAGAATGAGAACGCAAGATGTTCAAAAAACCCTGTTCGAGTCAGGGCGCCACGCGTAAGGTTGTGGGAGAGGAGCGTTGAAGCTTTGCCAGAATAATAGGCGAAGGTGCTTATATAAGCGACGTTAACGTTGCAGCCTGCTTGTTGTTGATTTGAAAAAAATCTCAAAATTTAATAAAAATCAAGCTGCCCCATTTTTTAGTGATCACCCTAATAATTGGGGTTATACGCTTGAGTAGTGGGTCTGGCTGGCGAGCTGGTAAAATGAGCTTCTGCTAGGTAAAGCATCAATTATCCTATAGGAAAGGCGGTTGGGAACGAGCGCTATTCAGAAAAATTTGCTTTTCTTTGAAGAAAATAAAGCATTCAAGTAAGTGGGTCTCGCTGGTGGAGATGAGGGTTAATTCGAAAGATCTTCCTATTTTTATATGAAGGAGAGCTTGATGATTGAGTCTGGCTGGTGGAGCCAACGCTTTCCATAAAGGATTATAGCGGGTAACTTTTTCGTACATAATTGGCAGAATTTGATCGATGATTGAAGGGCAGGGCATATAAAGAGTAACAGGGTTTCGTTGTTCGATGGCAGCTGACTCTTCGAGAGGTCACTACCGGGGGTGACTTGGTGTCGCTGTATCGCAAAATCCGTAGAAGAAAATAGTTCTGGAAGTGCGTGTTGAGGAAATTCTGTTCTTGTTGAAAGCGAAGCGTGTGAGTGAGGATCTCATTGATGGAGGCCATGCTTTCAAGCGAAAGGAACCTTTTCGGGAAGTGCGTTTATTCCACAGATTTTCCAATATCTCATAAAAATCTGCCTTGTAGACGTTTTCATGGGGAAACCTCACCTATACTTGTAGAAAAGCGAGTTATTGACGAGTCCCGCAAAATGAAAAGGCTCAAAGTTCAGGGTAGAGTATCAGTCCAGAAAACTTTTTCAAATGCTTCCACCCGATAAGGAGTCTACCTTGGAGCAAATTTGATGATTCGGCGGAAATTATGTTCAAGTAAAATAAAATGCAGGAAGATGTCATTGAGATACACAAACTTCCAAAACATATGCTTCGATCCACTTATAGCGACCCGCAGGGTCGCTAGTAGTGCTAAGCATATTGTTGATAAGAATAAATGATGTATTGGCGTCATGTAATTTGCGATGAACCGCAAGCCGAATGTTGGGGTTTATTGAAAAATTCCATTTTTCAAAAATTCATCTGTTTTTAGCAGCATGTTTAGCACTGTGTTAGATCTTCAGTATAACTTTGAAGGTTCTCGTTGACTTCAAAAAAGAAAAAAGTGACTTTGAAGAAAGACGGTGGGCCGCGGCGATCATCAGGGGATGACACAAAATCACACCGAGGATTGGCTGGTTTTTGTCTTATTTCTGAGTTGCATGATTTTCTGCTCGATTCCGGTATTTATGGTGCACCATGAGTGCAGACATATAATAAAATAAATAAATAAAATGAAATGCTGGAAAATGCGGCTTGTACAGCTTCTCGCTCCTGTTCAATATGTTCATAGTGAAGGAAGGTAGGAATACTTACGAATAGGTATACAGCGTGAAATCAGATATCTATAGCCCCAGACCATAAAGCTTTCTTTCTAGGCTGCAATCCTCTCCCCAGCGGGGATGTTAATGCCTGCGGCTCTTGGTGTAAATCAGGAAGATCAAAGCACTGACTTGGTAACCGGCTGAAGCCCGCATACTGTAAGGGAGTTCAGGGCCCGTATGCATTAACATTCCTGCGGCGAAGTAGCGGCGTCTCCAGTGATGAAGGAGCCGCAGCGGCGTTCGCCCGCGGCCCCCTCAAAAAGGGGATATCATCCCTTCGGGGCAGGGATGTTGATGCATAAAGGCAGAACACTTTTGAATCCCCTGTATCCACCGCAACCCGCCCGACCATCACATTCACATTACTGCGCATTACTTATGTATAAGAAAAGATGGATAAATAAAAATAGATAAAAACTCAATCTCAATCAAAAAATCAAAAGCCAGAAAATGAGACAGAACAAAAACTGTTAAAGTTATCGAGCTAGCAGCGTGCTCGCAAGCAATCCAAGACTATGAAATTGAAACAAATTCAGAAGCCTATAGAACGGTATATAAAAATGCAATGAAGTAAGATACAT